TAGAGGAGATATGCCAACCTCCCTGAGGCACGATCCATAATTGTTCCTGCTCCTAAGACCTCCGATCAGAGGCCAGATGGACATTCTCCCCACACACACACCCCCACATGCCCTGGGGCTACACAGGTAAGTAAATCTAATTAAGTAGCTCAAAGCAGTCACGAATTCCCCCCACCAATTCTGGTTTTAGAGACTCAGGGAGGAGGCCTGCCGTATGACACTGCTGAGTCTGTTCCATCTCCCGGAACGTGCTGCCTTCAGGGGACATCTGTGGGCTTGGTTACTTGAACTCTGATTTAGCTACACTTAAGCCAGGGGTGCCATTTAAATAGGGGTGGGCAGTAGTGCTCCGTCCCCTCTCTGCGCGTCATACCAGGCAGGAGAACAGAGCAGGGGTAGCCCCAAGAAGAGCCCCTCATGCCAGGCAGAGCCAGGTGTCTTGGAACGTGCTGGGGGACAGGGCCTGCGACCTCTCTGCATAACCTGCCTGCCTGGGGTGGCCGCACTAACATGCAAGCACTGAACTGCAGGAAACGCACTTTAAGCATCAGCGTGGCCATTGTGTGGCAGCCCACCAAACCCAATGGGGATGGGCAGAGGGATAGTGCCCCAGGGTGCATGTGTGCAGAGAGGGGTGATGGCCTGAGGGCTGGGGCAGGGGGGAGTGCGCCTGTCGGCGTGCAGATGGATGGTACCCCAGGGGTTACTGGGGGAGGGGAAGGGATGGTGCTCGGGGAACTTGGAGGGGGCATGTACATGCAGAGGGATGGTGCCATGGGGTGTGGGGTTGTGTGCATGCAGAGGGATGGTATTCCTGTATGTGCCAGAAGGCCAAGAGGGATGGTGCCAAGGGGCTATGTGCGCAGAGGAATGGTTCCCTGGGTGAGGTGCATAAAGGGAATTGGTGGAGTGTTTTTTTGACTTGCTAATTAGCTTTAGCCATCACACTGCTAGCATCAGCCATGGACATCATTTCCAAACAGGGGATGGGGCACTCTGTCAGCTTAACGCCTGGTGTTTCTGTTCTCTCCTTACCTAAACAAGTTGGTGAGCAGAGAAAGAGCTTAATGCTATTTAGTGCTTCAAAGACAAGCCCTTCCCCGGGAAAAAATATTCCTTGTTTTATATCCTTAACTATCCTTCCCCTTCACTCTACACCCTGAGGGCAGATATCTTGGAGTCATCTCAACCGCAAACTCTCTTTTCCCTCACTACCACCACTCACAAGCTGTAATTCTAAAATGGTAGTTACCCAGTTTCCCCCTGAGCCTCAGTTTGAAGAAGGTATAGGCTGGGATGCGATTGGCCCAGTCTGTAGTTTAAAAGGTTGGTTTTGGAGTCTTTCCTAAGCCCTGGGGAAGAGAAGAAAAGTCACCGGCCCCTGCTTTGACCCTCCTCCAATTGGGAACACGCTGCATCCCTATTTGGGATAGGTACTTAAGCACATGCTTTAACCTGAGCAAGGTCAACAGATCTCAAACACAAGCTGGAAGTCAAACGTGTGCTCAGGTGCTTTCCTGAATCAAGGCCTCAATGAACTGACGAAACAACCGGCCTGCCTCGTGAGAGGCTGGCGTATATAAAACTCTGACTGACTAAGAGGATACACCAGGCTACTATGCAGGACGGTACATTTTCTGTACATTGGGTAAGTTTCACCAGAAAGGTTGCCAAAAACAACTAAAACTTTCAACAGTTTGTCCAGATGGAAATGGACATTGGGAACTTGTTACAGGTTTCCTGGGCCTTCCCCTCCATCAGCTGTTGCCTGTTTGTGCTGTGTTAGTAATTTTGTTGTAGGAAACCTACATGAAACCCACAAATACTCCCAAAATAGACTGATGTTTTTTACATTTTATCCTTAGCTTCCAGGGGCCTAAGCACCCTCGGGGCTGCTGCTGCAAGATGCCTCCCCCGGACTGAAATCGGAACCGGCACCCTGACTTAAGCAGTTCCTCTATGGAATCATAGAATATCAGGGTTGGAAGGGACCTCAGTAGGTCATCTAGTCCAACCCCCTGCTCAAAAGCAGGACCCATCCCCAATTAAATCATCCCAGGCAGGGCTTTGTCAAGCCTGACCTTAAAAACTTCTAAGGAAGGAGATTCCACCACCTCCCTAGGCAACGCATTCCAGTGTTTCACCATCCTCCTAGTGAAAAAGTTTTTCCTAATATCCAACCTAAACCTCCCCCACTGCAACTTGAGACCATTACTCCTTGTCCTGTCCTCTTCCACCACTGAGAATAGTCTAGAACCATCCTCTCTGGAACCACCTCTCAGGTAGTTGAAAGCAGCTATCAAATCCCCCCTCATTCTTCTCTTCCGCAGACTAAACAATCCCAGTTCCCTCAGCCTCTCCTCATAAGTCATGTGTTCCAGGACCCCTAATAATTTTTGTTGCCCTTCGCTGGATTCTTTCCAATTTATCCACATCCTTCTTGTAGTGTGGGGCCCAAACTGGACACAGTACTCCAGATGAGGCCTCACCAATGTCGAATAGAGGGGGACGATCACGTCCCTCGATCTGCTCGCTATGCCCCTACTTATACATCCTAAAATGCCACTGGCCTTCTTGGCAACAAGGGCACACTGCTGACTCATATCCAGCTTCTCGTCCACTGTCACCCCTAGGTCCTTTTCCGCAGAACTGCTGCCTAGCCATTCGGTCCCTAGTCTGTAGCTGTGCATTGGGTTCTTCCGTCCTAAGTGCAGGACCCTGCACTTATCCTTATTGAACCTCATCAGATTTCTTTTGGCCCAATCCTCCAATTTGTCTAGGTCCCTCTGTATCCTATCCCTGCCCTCCAGCGTATCTACCACTCCTCCCAGTTTAGTATCATCAGCAAATTTGCTGAGAGTGCAATCCACACCATCCTCCAGATCATTTATGAAGATATTGAACAAAACCGGCCCCAGGACCGACCCCTGGGGCACTCCACTTGACACCGGCTGCCAACTAGACATGGAGCCATTGATCACTACCCGTTGAGCCCGACAATCTAGCCTAACTTTCTACCCACCTTATAGTGCATTCATCCAGCCCATACTTCTTTAACTTGCTGACAAGAATACTGTGGGAGACCGTGTCAAAAGCTTTGCTAAAGTGAAGAAACAATACATCCACTGCTTTCCCTTCATCCACAGAACCAGTAATCTCATCATAGAAGGCGATTAAATTAGTCAGGCATGACCTTCCCTTGGTGAATCCATGCTGACTGTTCCTGATCACTTTCCTCTCATGTAAGTGCTTCAGGATTGATTCTTTGAGGACCTGCTCCATGATTTTTCTGGGGACTGAAGTGAGGCTGACTGGCCTGTAGTTCCCAGGATCCTCCTTCTTCCCTTTTTTAAAGATTGGCACTACATTAGCCTTTTTCCAGTCATCCGGGACTTCCCCGGTTCACCACGAGTTTTCAAAGATAATGGCCAATGGCTCTGCAATCACAGCCACCAGTTCCTTTCGCACTCGGATGCAACTCATCCGGCCCCATGGACTTGTGCACGTCCAGCTTTTCTAAATAGTCCCTAACCACCTCTTTCTCCACAGAGGGCTGGCCATCTATTCCTCATGTTGTGATGCCCAGCGCAGCAGTCTGGGAGCTGACCTTGTTCGTGAAGACAGAGGCAAAAAAAGCATTGAGTACATTAGCTTTTTCCACATCCTCTGTCACTAGGTTGCCTCCCTCATTCATTAAGGGGCCCACACTTTCCTTGGCTTTCTTCTTGTTGCCAACATACCTGAAGAAACCCTTCTTGTTACTCTTGACATCTCTCGCTAGCTGCGGCTCCAGGTGCGATTTGGCCCTCCTGATTTCATTCCGAGCAATATTTTTATACTCTTCCCTGGTCATATGTCCAACCTTCCACTTCTTGCTGAAGTGCTTGAATGGAAGTTTTGTGCATTCTAGATTTGTAATTTTATGGTGTTTTCTGGCTACCCAAACCTGCTTTCTGGTTTCTGACAGGCACTTGACCACCACCCAGCACTAAAACACCCAGGAAGATAGGGGGGAAAGCTTATAAAAGCAGAGAGGCATGAGTCAGAGAAAACTGCACCATCGCATCCCTCTCTCATTTCTGACGCTGCTGGCAGGGGTGTGCGGGGGGGCGGGAGAGAATTCAGCAAACCACCTCCCAGGTAGTTCTCCACCATCACTGCCACCTCGCAGTCAGCCCAGTGCCTCCTGCAGCAGAGAGAGGCTGCAACAGTTGCTAACACTTGGGTCTTAACCACTGTTCACCAAGGGGGGGCCCCCATGATGAAAGACCGCACAGCTTCCACTAATCCAAACATCCCTGATGAAATCGCCCTGGTATTAGACTGCGTGCTGTGCACCAGAACCAAAGATCTGCAGGCAAGAAAATCAGAGTGTTGCCTTTTAATTAATCCCCGATGAAGCAGTAAGAATGATGAAGGAATAAGCTTCCAAGGCATCAAAGGCAACGGGAAGTCACCCCGATAAGAGAGACCTCTTTCAAGCCCTACATCTGATGTGCACAAACCAAGCCCACCTTGACCATGGCGCTCCACTGCCCTGCAGTTTGCACAGTCATTTGCACCAGTGCAAAGCGAGAGTGAACCACGAGCAAATCAGCATGGGAGCCTTTCACCCTGGGTGAGTCCACCCGGCATTGGAGAACCGAATCCCTTGATCTTAATGGAGCAACGCGCAGGATTGATTTGGCCCATCGCTAAATCCCTCTTTGACTTGGATAACGGGCATCCAGCATTCTGCTCTGGAGACTCCTGGGTAACACTGAGGAGCTAAAGACCTTTCCTAGTCAAGCACTTCTTTGCAGCTCTGATAGGGCTTCAACGCTCCCAAGTTTCAGCCTGCGCTTGGCACATTCCCATAATGTCACGTGCTGGGCAAGGAGCTCTGATACTTATTTTTCCTGACCTATCAAAGGGAACACAGACATCGACAGGCCCTCCCTGCCCCACCCCTTAATTTGCATTCAGAGGGATGCCCTGCCCATGCAAACAGGATTACTCACGCAGTCCTATCTTCGCCAAGTGCAGACGGTTCACCCAGGAGATCTTGCTCAGTGGGTTTGGGGTGATGAAGACCACCATGAAGCTGATGGGGCGGCCAGACCTGCAGCAGGAGGACGATGGAGGCTAGAATTTAGCTCCATTCTGATCTGACTGGAAGGCATTAATGGACCCAGGTGCCTAGTACCACCCCAGCCCTTGCGTAGCTAACTTCTGTGCCAAAGGGCACTTCACCCACCACAGAAGTGCAACCACCCCTGCACAGACAGGCAGTAGCTGTTTAATAGGGCACACGGGGGCCATAGAGAAAAGGGTAGGGCTGGAAATGCACTGACCATGCGGCGGGCAGGCCGGGAGTTTACATACGACATTATTGAGACAGGGAGATCATCCTGTTGTGGTTTCAGTTTACTACGGTCATAGGACTCATCTTTGCAGCAATTAGAGTCACTTACATTGTATATCACCAGACATGGCCTGCCGCTGTCCCAGGAGTCACAGCCAGGGGCTGCCTGGGGGTGCGCAGAGCGGTTCCTGCCCGGCACTGACCTGCTGAGCCAGCTGCTAGTTCTTGGGCCATGACCTCCATGCCCGGCAGAGCACAGGGCCTGGAGAGGCTTTACAGGCTATGCCCTGACCTGGCAGAGCCTGAGCTGTTAGACTGAGGAACTGCATCTCAGCGAGAACGGAGGAGGGGACCAGTAATTGCTGCATTTGTCTCAGCCAGCCGCCCTTCTCTCCGGACTAGATATAAGAGGATCCACAAGGGGAGGGAGGAAAAAGGAGCCAAGGTTCATCAGAAGCATATTGGGCCAGATCCTCAGCCAGTGTAAAGCAGTGCAGCACCACAGTATGCTGATTTCCACCAGCTCAGGATCCACCATGAATCTTCTTAGTGTCTCCCCAAAATCAGGGCATAATCCCAGGGTGGGGTGGTCCGTTGAGGAGGACATTCCTCCTTCCACCCCACCCCAAATTAACTGGGGGCTGGGAGGGGGTTTACACTTTCCTCCAAAGCACCTGGCATTGAACCAGTTGTTTGTTCTGGTACGTCCGGCCAGGCTGGGACAAGACAAGACTCGAGCTGCCCTGGCAACGGATGTGTACAGGACACTAGGTATAAGTGAGACCTTATTACATGTTGGCATAGGCTTCCGTTACCTGAGACACGTACACCTGGACTGATCAAAGCAACGGAACACGCTGTAGCATACAATTCTGCATGGGCCTACCAGGAGACCGGTTAGAACGGCCCAATAGGCCTTTGCCCTCCGATTCTGTCTCCATGCTCAGAGGGATGCAGCAGGAAATGTCCCGCCCGTGGGATCTAAGAGCAGACTTACTTGTCTGTCTTCCCTGGAAGCAGGAGACGGAGGCGGCACTTGTTGGCCGAGTGGATCTCCTCCTCCTTCACTCTCATCATCCTCTGCAGGGCCAGGCACCAATCCTGGGCCACAGTCATGTTCAGATTCTGGAAGCAAGAGAGAAAAGGAAACCCCTAAGATGCAGGTATCAGAGCGTGGCAGAGAGGGCCAGGCAGGAGCCCATGAGTTACCATCAAATTGCACCCAAAGGCCCACCCAGGAACAGCAAAGAGCAGGGCTCTGGACTAGCATGGGCACCCACGCTGCCAAGGGTGGAGAACCAAGTCCATCAGGAAGTTGGTATGTCTGGAGGTTCCTGGGGAAGCCAATGGCCATCCACTGTAGGACATCCACAGAGCAAGGATCTGCCTGCCTCCCCAGCTAAAGAGCCAGCATAGCAACGTTGGTGTAGGGGCTTGGGAGGGGTACATAGTGAGGAGGGATGGTTGCTTTAGAAGTAAGACAGTGGCAGAAACCTCATTCAGTGCCATTTTCTGCCCTGCTCCAAGGTTATGTTCTTTGTCGTTTGGACCACTAACTTGGCTTCCCCCAGCCTTGGTCCTGGCTAGTTATGTCCAAGTCACAAACCAGCTTGTGGTTCGCTGACCACAGGGGAAATAGCTCCATTTCTTTCGTAAATCCCATTCCCAACTGACCAGACACCTGCTGGCAGGTATCTGCTTGGAGAGACAGAGCTGACACTGACTGAAGGGGAACTGCCTGGCCATTACCTGGTAGGTGCCATGGAGGGTGCTGATGAGAAGGGTTATCTGCTCCACCACAGCCAGATCCTTCTGCAAATCTTGGAGCTCCTGGAAGAGCCGTGGAGGGCCCAGGTACACCTTATCTTGGGAGGAAAGCAATGCATTAGCAGGCAGAGAGGCTTGGTGGGTTTGTCAGCTGACCTTCCACTTTGGAAGACGTGGCTTCAAATCCCAACTCGGTTCACAAGGGGAAGTAAGTTTGCATTCGCCCATCGTACAGACTGTCCCGGAACAGAAGAGCAGCGGGTGCTAGAATTCAGGACTGGAGTACGTTAGCACGGCCGCACGGGGAAAACTTGCGCAGACCCTGCCAGTGCTACCCAGCCCTGGCTTTCCCAAGTGCCAAAATGCACTCGTGCTCTGAGCGGGGATTCCATGGAGCCCTTTTGCCATCACCACTCTGTGTCTTCTTCACAGCCAACCTCACAGGGCAGCATAGTCCTAAGTGCGGGGCTGCCTTTCAGACACCCCGTGGATTTTAAGGGCAGAAGGAACAATGAGGTGTCCAGGAACCCAAGTAGCAAAGGGCTCCGATTTCTGGCCCCTTGCTCTCAGGGGACACAAGCAACTTCCAAAACGTGTTTACTGCTTACAGAAGTTTCTACATCTTCCGTTTCAATGCTCCCCACAGAGGAAGTCCCCTCTAGCCAGCAAACCAAAACAAAAAGGCACGGGCAACGTTTGTTAAGCCATCAGAAAAACATCGCTGCAGAGGCCCAGCCAGCAACGGGCCTGGAGTCATTCCGGTGTTAGCCCTCACGTGACCGAGGAGTCGCGGGCTCGGCCAAGCTCTAACGAGCACCGAGGCAGGGGCCAGGTCTCTTGGTTCAGGAAAGACTCGATTCTTCCCCTTCCATCCCACAGGGGGTGCTGGCTAGAGTGGACGCTGCTCAGTTCGCTCACGGAGGAGAGCAGCTGAGCATTGATGGGGTGCTGCCACCCGGGGTGTGGGGATCCCGAAGCAATGGGGTGGGAGGGAAGGGAAGGGCTGGGGAACCCCTCCTTTTGGGTCAATGGTATGAAGAAGGAGGCACCACGCTCTACCGCAACACCATGGCGCTTCCCAGTCAAATTCCCAGAATGACCCAGCTTGCACAGCAATGCCCTAATCACCCACCGCCACCACTGGAGTGAACCTGGGGCCAGGGGGCGGAACCGGGAGGCGGTGTGCACTGACGATCCCACAACGGAAATATGGCTGGCGCGCATCTGGGGGGCCGACGCGAGGATGGGACCCGGAGGGGCTGGAGCAGCCGCTGTGGGGCCCAGGATTGGGCCAGGGATCAGATAGGAACTGCTGCACCACCGAGTCTCCGCAGATCCCCTCACTCCCCCTCCTATCCCTTCCCTCCTCTCCTCCCACCTCGCCCACTTGAACCTTTTGCACTAAAAACAGGGCTCTGCCACTGGAGCTGCAGGAGTAACTCCACTGGCTGGTAACAGTAGTAGACTCTTATCCTCAGCAAAGCAGCCACTGACTAGAGGAAGACAGAGCACACTAAGCCAGTGTGCTGTACCCCCACCTCCGAGCGGATACTCACTGGACGACTGGCTGGCTGAAGCATGTTTTTTGGCTCCCGCGTTCTGGATGACCACGTTGTCTTTGTCGTATGTGCTGTTCTCCTGCCCAACTTCTACCACCTGCACCTGCGGGAGGGCAGTGTTCCATTTCACGACATACTTGGGGCCCAAAGGGACGAGACTGCTGATTTCCAGCTGGCCTCTGTGGAGAGGGAGAGTCCGTTATTCCCTAAAAAAGCGTCACTTACACTCCACCAACGTCCCCATCCCCAGCCAAGCCAGAACCCTGCGGCACCAAGAGGGAAGAGTCAGGTCATGCTAGGAGAACACCTCTAGACCAGAAAAATGCAGAAACATTTGCAAGCCCAGCTCCCTCTCCCTTGCTTAAAAACTTGCATTCCACACCCTGCACCAGCATATCCACCATAATCTGCACCCCCAACACATGGGGCAAAAAGACAAGACCACGTGCTGAGCCTACCTTGTACTCACGGGCCTGGAAAGAGAGAAGATTAACAAAGGTCATTACCACAAGTGCATGCAAGTCCTCCACTTCTCTCCCTTCCCTGGGTGTTGCAGCCACTATTTTCTACCCTCTGCTCTCAAGAGAGAGACCTGATCTAGTAGTTCTGGAAAGCAGGAAGTCCCGAGTTCAAATCCTGCCTCTGACACCATCTGTATTCTTAGGCAAATCCCTTAGGGCAAAGTGTTCTGATTCAGGGATGGAAATGCACATTCAGGCAACTGAAAGGGGCACTCAGCACCTTTGGAAATCAGGCTAGTCATAGAATGATAGAAGATTAGGGCTGGAAGTCCCAGTCCTTCCCCGTGCACTGAGGCAGGACCAAGTAAAACTAGACTATCCCAGACAGGGGTTTGCCCAATCTGTTCTTAAAGACCTCCAGTGATGGGGATCCCACAGCCTCCCTAGGTAACCTGTTCCAGTGCTTAACTCTCCTTCGAGCGGGAAAATACTTTCCCACTATCAAACCTGAATCTCCCTTGCTGCAAAAAGTAATAAAATAAAATAAGCCGATTACTTCTCGTGCTACCCTCGGTGGACAATGAATTACTGACCACTGTTCCTGACAACAGTAAAGGGTTGTTATCATGTTTCCCCTTCAGTCTTCTTTTCTCAAGACTAAACACATCCAATTATTTTAACTTCTCCTCCCACGTCATGTTCTCTAAACCTTTCAGTTGCTCTCCTCTGGTCTCTCTCTAACATGTTAACTTCTATGTGGGACCCAAAACAGAGGCCTCACCAGCGCTGAACAGAGCGGACCAATGTCTTCTTTAAGTGCCTAACCTCCAACATCCACACTGAAAAGTTTTAGCCTTAAATCTTTACTCCAGTCTATTATGATGCACTACAGGGCTTCAGTCACCGCATTCTCTTAACCCAAGGAACTCGACCCAGAGGCTGTAACAATGACGGGTAAAATGAGATTGGGATAGAAATTATGGTTGCTGGGGACCCAGGGCAGCACTCTGCAGTAAGAGGATACACGGGGATCCAGGCTAGACAAGCTACACAGCATAACTGCAGGCAGACAGGGCAGGGCTGTAGGTGATCCCAGTTTGCAGCAGTGACTGGCCATTTACTGAGCCATCTTCACTGGTTAGAACACCTACACGTTTATAGCCACATAATGGAGCTTTTCTGCAGCAGCTCTTGGGTAACTTGCCAATGCTGGGGAAGTGCAATCAAAGGCATATTTTAAAGTCAAATGGCTCCTAATGTATCACTGGTATAACTGTCGAAGCCAATGGGATTACACCAGGGATCCATTTGACCCAAGGTTGCTAGAACGACTGCAAAGAAAAATGTCAAATCCCAGCAGAGATGCCAGGGTTTTCCTGGAGACAAAACGGAGACGGCACTTTATAAAGGTCAGCCTGCATCTTTTCAGTTGGATTTCACTGCGTGGAGCCTTGATACTGTATCTCTGTAGCTTCCTTCAGGGCTGCAGGGACAACATTTACGACGGGCTCTGGGAGGAAATGAACGCTGCCAACGTACTTGAAGTTGATGTTGGCGCACACCAGCATGTCATTCAGCAGGAACACCTTGCGCTCCTTCGATTTGATCAGCTGGCCACGGTCCCCATAAACCGTCTCCGTCAGGGTCTCGCAAAGCAGCAGCTGGTGCTGCCCTGAATTCAGCAGCTGCAGAGGAAAAAGAGCAAGGAGGTCCTTTATTAGAGGAGCTGGGAGATTAGCTAGGATGTTCCCCTATCACGTGCGTAGGCATCACTGCCCCCTGCTGAATGGAATCAGAACTGCTCAGCTCTATGTCATAGGCCCTATATTGCTAACAGCTATTGGGGTTTCTCTTTTAGCTCAAGGGGCCTGGGCTTCCCGAGCAGGAGGATCCGAGTTCTGCCATGCAGTTCAGAGCGGGCCCGGTGCACAAAGCAGAGACAGCAGCCCTAACGGATTCATTACGGTAATGATTTGCTCCTGTACAGAGATTCATCCGATAGGACTCCACAGCATAACAGCAATGGCATACTGAGCTACAACCCAGCAGACCCGGCCCAGGGGCCACCTCAGAACTTTGTTCCTCAGTTCCAGAGTCTCTGAGCCCAGCTGCAGGAGGGGAAAAGGAGGACGGTGCTAACGACTGAGGGTAGATCTACGCTACGTTTTAAAACCCGTGGCAGCAAGTCTCTGAGCCCCCCAGTCCCCGCTTTGCGGTATCAGTCCCTTTGCTTTCATTTCCTCTGCAGAGCAGAGTGTGCCTTCGCTCACCCCGCAGCGCTGCCCAGTCACATGAGGTTCTGCAAACGCCTTGCCCTGGCTATTTCGAAATCCCGGGGACTGAGTTTCAGTCTCTCTTCTCTCAAGGAGTAAACACTAGGGGGCAGGGAGTGGGAATTTCCACCCAACGCTCTTTGATTTCATGTAAACCAGAGACTCTCAGAGAAATAACGCAGCTTCTGGATGGTTAACGATGGCAGTTAGCCTGGCCGAGAGTCACACCGACTTATGGCATACACCCCCTTCTCCCATCTGAGAAACAGGAGACCAGCCATCCACCTGGGCTGCCCCCCGTGGCCTCTGAGCTGCGTCAGCCATCTGCAGTCACCTCGCCACGGACCAGCCTGTGCCGTGTGAGAGTAGGCAGGAGAGCCCCATTGCCAGCCAGGTAGTTAGCAGGGTAACAGCCCTGTTTTCAGGGACTGCCTTGTTGCTTTGACCCGTCTTTTGTAAGCCCCACCTGACAGGAGCCTGCTGAGATAGGAAAACTCGCAGGTCAGCCAAGGAGATGGGGGCGCTGCAGGGAACTCCCCATGGCCCCTCAGGTGAGCTACATTGTGCTGGCATCCTGCCCCCTCCATGGAGGTACACCTGTCCCCCGCCCCCAACATGTAGAGTCCAATCTATTAGGGAGGAGGGGGTTGCTTAGCTGAGGGAGACAGCCGGCTCCCTCTCCTCACTCTCTTCCCACGCATACTAAGCCCAAATGCTCCCCCGCTTTGCACTCTGAACTGCCGCTCAGCCTAGCTGGGCTGTCACTGCACTTAGCCAGCTCAGACGAACCTCTGTGCCGGGCACCGGTGCATTGCCCCTGCCTCCCATTCAATGCCTAGCAGCACTTGAAATGGCAAGGCTGGGTACCGGAGCAGCCCAAGTGCTCACACGGGTGAGAGTCTGCACAGCTGGCTAAGGAGCCGCGAACCCAGGCCTTGGCTGGGCTAGACTGGCTGGGCGAGCTGGTAACAGCAGCCTGAAAAGCGAGAGTTTATCAGACGTCTCAGACAGCCCATCCCCAAGTCTTGATGCATTCAAGGTGCTCTCAAATCAGAGCTTTCACTTTGAATAAGACACAGCCTCCATCCCTTCCTTTGGCAGGGAGCGTGCCCAGGCAGACTGCCTGGTTACTGTGCCCAGGCTTCCTGGCAGAAGCCCCCTTGCAGACAGCCAGGCAGATGCCAGCCAGCCAAGAAAGTTTGAGATGGATTTTAAACAGAGACGAGCACGAGCTACAGAGTTCAGCTCCGGAGCAAGAGAGCGAGGTCAAATCAGAGGGATTCGAGTATGGGTCCAGCTCAGTCAACACCATTCAGGCTCCAGAGATCTGTTCAAGAGCCAACACTCAGGGCCAGAAGCCACAGGCTGGCCACACCATCCTCCTGGTTACCTTGCCAGCCCTGAGAAGTGGAGCTGAGCAGATAAAGGACAAAGCCACGTCCAACTTGCCAAGAGTAGCGTGAAGGCCAGCAAATGGGGCCATTAGAACAGAGGACAAAGGGGTGGTGGAGTCTGCAGAGCACTCACTGTTGCATCCTGCCCTGCCCCTCTCCAGGATGCTTCTGAAGCTCCTGGGCTCACACCCGCAGCACAGAGACTTAGTGTAACTAACGGTTCCATTGCAGAGGGCAGGCTTATGGGGGTGAAACGACAAATAGTGAGCGACTTCAGCAGGCAGCCACGGGAAGGACGTTGGGTGAAGGCAGGGGGAGGATCCAGGAAGGAAGACGTTTTGGTCCTAGCACTGTAAGCTGGAGGACAGCACCACGGATCACCAGAGAAAGAAATTGGGAATTCTTCTGGCCAAGGGACACTTCAGCCACAACCCAGTCTAGTAGATTGTCTTTTCCACACCATGGTTGTACGCAGAATCCTCTCTGGGGGCCTCAGATATTCAGTCCAGGCTTTCTCTCTCCCCATTACCCCAACTGAATGGGCAGAGAAGATTCACAGGGACCACTGTGATCATCTCCGGACCAGTGCCTTCCTGCCCGGCACCAGCAAAGATGCTGTTAGTAAGTAGCTGCACACACCTGGCTACAGCCGGAGCAGGTAGATTCCTAAATTAGGGAGAGTTTTGTGCCCTGCCAGAAATGGATTCCAAACAAACATGTGGGGAGAGGAGAAAACCACCCCTTTCCATCCACCCTCTGCAATAGGCTACACCTGGGAGTGGGGGTTCCTAAGCTATTCACGTACACACACTGTCATCTAGTGGGCAGAGCCGAGAAGGGGAATTTCCCAAGCAGAGCAATTGCTTCCCCGACACTGAGCCCCACCCTGCAGACCCATCACTCAGGCGCTCAAGCCCCCACCTTGTTAAGGCTGCTGCGGTCGCTGACGCTCCTGATCAGCTGCTGGATCTCAGCAATCTGGTCGGCCACTCGCTTCTGCTCGTTGAGTTTCTCCGCCAGCGTCTCCAGCTCGGTGAGGGCAAGCTGGAGCGACAGCCTGTCCGGGTGGCCTGTCGGGGTGTTCTTCAGCATATCCTGGGGTGAAAGAGGGAGGGAGGAAAAATCAAGTCACCAGGGAAGGAGATCATCCCCTGGCAGGCCAAGCTGTGGACCGGAGGGAGCCCCTGATGGCACGGTGCTCAGATTTTCAGAGGTGCTGAGGAGCTGTCACCCCCAAGAAGCATTCCTGAAAAAAAACTGGATTTTAGACAGGCCTGGCCTGCGCAGAGATTTGGGGAGCAGCAGCCACCCAAGCCAAACGTGCTTGTGCGCACACATAGGGACACTTTCTGCAGCCGCCAGGGTGATCAATGCACCACAGACTATTCCCCAAGGCACAGTGTGCAGCCCCTGAATGCTCAGCTGCCCTGCCCAGGTCCCTTGCCTGGAGGTTTCCCGGGCACAGAGAAGTGGGAGGAAGAGGTGTTGATTTTGTTTCGTTCTCCCACCGTGCTGAACTCAGGGGCCCCAATGGCAGACCCTCTGCTGAGTGGGAGCTTGTGACACCCTGGCACCCCAATATTCGCCACTGTCGTGTCATTAGGATATGTTTTGTACAAAGTATGCCTTCTGTGGTATCATTCTAAGAGTCTTGATCCGCTAGACAGTCATATCTTGCTGGATGATACGTGCGATCGTCGTATGTGAAGTTACGAAGTTTGGCTTTGTGTGTGTTACTGAAACACGTGGTGAGGTTGAAAAAAACACCCACAAGCAGCCTTTCCGGTACAACAGTAAAAAGGCCAAACAATGTGAATGGTTTACTGAGGAAATGCACACAAGCACAAGATTACCCCAGAACTGTGGACAATAGAAACCTCTCAGAGGTAGCACTGCACAAAGGGAACCATTTGACCCAGATCATAGCAAAAAAGCTTTCCAGCAAGTGGGAAGAAGATATAGAAGGGGGAAATGACATCATGATGGTACCTCACTTTCCCCACAACAACATACCTGGAAACACCTGAGGAACAAAGACTGAACTGGGGGAAGTGATGGTCCCAGGCTAGAGGGATTTTTAGCCTGTGTATGAAAACCTGGGAAAGCCAAGGCAGCTTATGATTTAAGAATCTGCCAGCCTGTTTATCACTCAGGGTGAGAATTTGCTAATTCATATCCTACCCATCTAGTATGTTAAGATCAGTTTGCAGTTTTGTAGTTAATAAACTTGTTTTTGTTTTGTCTAAATGACTGTGGAAATCATACTTGGGGCAGAAAGCTGTTGCATATCTTCCTCCACATTGAGGGAGGGGGCGAATTTCATGAGCTTACACTGTACAGTTTCCTGTGCAGCGCAAGACAGTATAATTTTGGGTTTTCACTCCAGGGTGGGGTATGTGCCTTAGCCACTGGGAAGTGCCTTAGCTGAGCCTTCCCATCTCAGCATCTGTGTGAAGCAACAGCTGGGTGTGTCCCTACCTGTGTGAATGCTGGTGAAAGAGCAAGCTTGGAGAGCTTGGCAACTTGTCACAGCACCACAGTGTGAAAGGGAGCCCAGGCTGGTGGGTCAGGCGAGCTCAGTGGTACCTCAGTTGTAAGTGGCACTCTGGGGGGAACCCATCACAGAGCTCTTCTGTACACATCCAGACAATGGGAGCTGGCCAGCCTAGGCTAAACCCTGGGCAGGGGTGCCGGAACAAGGGAGGTAAGGCCCCATCGCTTTTTAAAGGAAATAAGGGTGAGAGACAGGGCCTCAGGGGCAGAGAGGAGCAAGCAGGGGGCGGGGCCTTGAGGGGATGGGACTATGGTTTGGGCGCCAGTGGCCCCCCCATGTTTACAGAGCTTCCGCCACTCCTGACCCTGGGAGTGGGTTTCAGATCGAATTTCTAGCAGGTCAAGGGACTCAGCAGATGTAAACCAACATCACTTCGCTGACTCCTGTGGAATTATCCCAGCTGAGGGGCTGATTCACAGACACCAGGCTGACTGTCTCCATCCTGCCAGCCCTGAGATCCAGCCCACTTCCCTGCCCGGCGGACCCATCCTATCGTCCCATTACCCCCCACCCCCCAGTAAGAGAGCAGACTCCGGTTTAAGGTACCTGCAGCAACAGAATGAACTGAGGGAATCTTTGGATGGGCTTCACCATCAGCCCGTAGAGCGTGACCCGGTCAGGGCTTGCCATCTGCCGCTTCTGTCAAGACAAGAACAACCCTCTACCACCTGCACTTCAACCAGGATCTCTCAGAGCAGAAACCCCCTCACCGTTAGTCCTCTCTCCCCTCACCCACCCACCCCATGCCACGGATCTGGGTGGGATTCTTCGCTTTTTACTCCTCCACTCCGGCCCTCCCTCATTCCATTTTCATGCTTCCCTCACTCGCCCACCGCACCCTCTCGTCTGAGGTTAGATCAACGAGAGATGCTACAGAGCCGGAATAACTAACCCATCCTCCCCTGCCATGGCTCTGAGCCCGGCTTCACTCAGGACCCTGGGCTCCTGCAGTGGTTTGCATTGGCAGCAAGACTGCTGCTCTGGCTCGCAACTCGCCGCCTAACTTCACTCAAATGCAGCATTAGCAGATCACAGAATCATAGAATCTCATGGCTGGAAGGGACCTCAGGAGGCCATCTAGGCCAACCCCCTGCACAAAGCAGGACCAATCCCCAACTAAATCATCCCAGCCAGGGCTTTGTCAAGCCTGACCTTAAAAAAATAGATAATGGTCTCCGTGGTACAGGCCTGGCAAGGGAAGGATGCCAGCGTTAAGAGATGGGTAGGGTACCAATAGGGTAGGGTTTGAAGGAACGGTCAGTGACCGTGCACCACGTTGGCATCCGTCCTGAACTTAGAGCTCAGGAGGGTGGCACTCAACTGATGGTGCCCCCAGCTTCATTCTGGGCTGGGAATCCAAGCCCAGTGAGGAAGGATGACATGGGTATTCTGCAAGGGTAAGGTACGGGGCCAGCTGATAGGGGCTACAAGCCAGCATTATTAGAGCAACCATAGCCTCATCAGAGAAGAGCAGCCACTAGTACAAGCAGAATGGATACTGTGCAGGTGAAGACCCCCACATGGTTCTGGAATCCCAACCCTGTGTATAGGGAGGCATCAGACAGTGCAGACGTGACACAGAGTGGGACAATCCTTTACTGCTCTGGGAAGCCACCGGCCAGGTAGAAAGTCCTGGGTACGAGTGACCTTTGCTAAGCGATTCACCGAGTAGTTTGAAACGCATCTTCTCTCCATCCGCATCCTCTGCTTGTTCCTGGGAAACATCAACCCTTATGATACCCCTGTTGCAAGCAGAGCCCCAGGCAGGCCAACTGCCAGATGGTGACAGGCGCATCCTTTCCTGATGCTTCCACTGACCTTGAGGAACTCCAGGAACATGGGCTTGGTGAGACAGGCCTTCTTGATCACAGACATGGCATTGGTGAAGTTATTCACGTAATCGCTGTACACATCCAGCACCATTGACTTGGAAAACTTGGCGCATGCACAAATAACCAGACAGAAGAGAGGGGAGAGTCAGATCCAGCATCTCTTTACTTAGCATCTAAAGCCGAGGAGAAGCCAGCCCCACATGACTTAGCCAGCTCACTGCAGACTGCCAGAGGCTCACAGCTTGGAAACCTGTCTCCTCCCCCTCCCCACCCTCCTCCTGAGGCATCTGCATTCAGAAAGTCCATCCTGAAACCCAAAGCTTTCATTGAAACCTGCAAGGAGGTTACCACCATCAAACAGAATAAGAGGGGCATTGGGACTGCCGCACACCGCAGATGGGATGGTGATACAGAGGCGTTCCCACTTCCTTGCAATAGACGAATGCATGGGGGCCAGCGGATAACACTCGCGTCTAGGCCAGAAGACTGCAAGTTCAAGTTCTCCGCCAAGATCTGGGCTCGTACCCAACGTCAACACTTAAAAAGTCTGCAGGGTTCTGAGCGAGGGCCGGGGATTGCGCCGGAGACGCCAGAATTCATACGACCAGATAAACTGAACTTAACACATCTCTGGCAGCTGCTCCAAGGAGCCAGAGCCATGGGAACCGGACGCCTTCACCCACATTCCAGCTCCCCCCCTAAACAAGGTGAGCCCCCCATGCTGCGTGGGCTATTGTGGAGGACAGAAGGACCACTGCATTGGCCGTGGTGCAGCAGCCATCTAACTCGCTACCCTGCAGTAACCGGGGCACACAATGCAGTTCTATACACGGTACATTGGCCCAGGTGGGCCTAGTATAGCGAAGCTAGGAACCTGCCTGAAGACGCCAAGCATTTCCGATGGGCAGGGTGGGCTGGCCCCATTTGATCAAGCTAACCAGCAAAATCAAACTGTGCTCTCCCAGGCTTCCCCCTCCTTGGTCAGCTTATGGCAGCTGCTCTTAAAACCTTCCACTGGCCTTCACGCTGCCATGGTCTCATCTACACTGTGCCGATTGCAATAACCCAGAACACACCAGGTTCCCAGAGCTGGAAGCAGTGGGTGTGGCAGCTCTATAGAGGGGAGTGGGGGCCCGGGATGGAATCGGGGATGCTGGGAAGGTCCAGATAGAAGGGTGTTGACAGAGGACGAGCATGCATTTTATATCCTACGTCACTGCCTGGAGGAGGCTTTGGCATCCTGGGGGTGGGAAGAGGAGGGAGGGAACCACACCACCTCTTAACCTCGCTCCAGAAGGGCGTCTCTTACTGAGGCCACGAAGAGGTCCCCGATTTTCTCCGTAGTGTCCCACTCAGCCACGCGGGAGAACAAGGCGATCTGGAACATGGAATGGCAGTGCAAGATCTCCTTGAGACGGAAGAAAACCACCTGGCACTTCCTGGCGCTGAGGGCCTTGGGCTCCATCTCCATCAGGGGGTGTCTGTAATCCTGTAAGCCACAGGAGGGGGTTTTAACAGACTTTCCCACCCTCCTCGTGCCCTCGCCACCCCAGATCGGTCACTCAGGGCCCATCAGTGGAGCCAAAATGAGTTGGGTGTCCCCCTGTGAACTTCCCAGCCTTAACTGTCACATCTCAGCTCCCCAGCTGCAAAACGGGATTTTGCTGCTCCCTCTCACACTCTTTGATGGCTTGTCTATTAGCCCCTAAGCCCTTCCAAGCAGGACTATCTCTCACCCCAAGTATGTCCGGCACCTCGCACCAGGGGACCCTGCTCCCAGCAGCGCTACCAGAGTCACTGAACTGGTTTGATGATTTTTAAAACACTCTCTCCTCCCCCTGCTCACTCCGGCAGTTTTCCCACATTGTTCCCCAGTTCCCATGGCCCCTGCAGTTCACAGCCCACCCTGTGCTTTGCAAATGTTAACGAGTTCGTGCCTCTTGGCCAAAGCCCTCCATGCTCCACGACTGCCTTGACCTAAACTCAGCAGCGCTTTGTGGGAACTTTGGATCAGTTTTTTAAACGAAAAGCACCACAGAGTTCCCTGGGCGCGGGGGAGGGTGTGAATCAAACTGTCCAAGGCACATTCCCTGCATTGTCTAATCTGTTGTGTGATTAATTTCAGGGTGCCCCTGAACTGTCAGTGAGCTGCGGAGATTGTGCGTTGAAGTCATGTCAGCCGTGGGGCTCCGAGGTGGGAGGGGAGAGCCTGGAGCCTAGTTTAGGACTGCAGGATTAGCACATTTGCTGGATGCTTCCGCTAAATGATCAGCAGTGAAACAGTTTAACAAAGCCATTTAAATTGCTGTCATCAGGTTTCAGAGTCAACAACCCACCTGGGGGCAGTTCACACCCCTCAGCACTATTGTTTAAGGCTGTCTGAAGACTCAGGCCGACGTCCCTACATCTGGTACACTCAGGGTACACTCTTTACAGGCTCTCTTTGCAACCAGAATTGGTGGGAACTTAGTTCTCTTTAACAAAAGCTTCAGTTCTACAGCCCAACACAGCAGCAAGTCCCACAGCACTGTAGAGTCAAGGCTCCGCTCCCCCTGGCAGGTAGTCAAGTCCAGAGACTGCCATTGCTATTCCACCATCTTACCTAGAAACCAGTCTCACTGAGGTCCCCCCCAACCATGTCCTTCCCTATTCGATTTCTAAATGGGATGGGGGTTCGTTCCCGTCTATCCCATCCTCCCCGCCCCTCCCAGTCACGGAAGTCTGTAGTCTGTCTGCGCTAGGGTGGGTGACTCAGGTGGTCTTAAGATTGGCATCACCTGGAGAATCCGCTTCAACGAGTCCACGTAGCTCCGCTCACTCTGCACGATGGAGCCCAGGATGTGACGCCGCACCACCTGCAACACCCACACCAGGGTTACGGTCAGAAACGGGTGCAGAGCCCCCTCCATCAGCACATGGGCACGACACACACACACACACACACACACACTTAGCACCACATCACATCTTCCTTGTGCCCCCCCCCCCTTCCAGATATTGGTGGGAGGAAAGAGAAAACGTGACAAGGTGTCGGGCCGTAGATCCACTCACAGAAGCAGAGCTATTTTGCTCACTCACAATGCTGCCGGGTGCTAGGACCCACCAGAGCGATGTGGAGCTATTTTGCTGACTCTTCCTTTGTGGGCAGATTGGACAGGGGTGGGGAGGTAATTTAGTTACTTAACATACAGCTACAAAAAACACACCGGTCCCAACTAGGGAGGAGGGGGAATGAGGCCAGCTGAACTCCAGCCTACTGGAAAGTTTGAAGAAGCCGGGTAAAGGCTCCATACACACTGGTGTGTCTACAGCCGTTGACCCTCTTGGGCCTCTCGCCAAATGAAAACTTGTTCCTCCAGCTCCTAAGCACAGCAGAGCCCAGTATCCCGCCCCGGGGGCTTAGGGCACTTAATGCTCTAAGATTTAGTGATGTTCTGGTGCTTCCAACCTCCAGGCACCCTCCAGAGTGCCCCATGCAGGCCGTGAGAATTTCACATGAACCAAGATTTTAGACTCTTTCCTGGGACTTCCCACAATCTCCAGTGTGCCACAAATCATGGCGTCAGGTAGCCAAGTACAGAGGTTGGGCCAGCAGCCAGGTTCTGCTGTGCTGGAGAGGACCAAGCGGAGATAAACAGCCCTCCTCTCCTCCCCAGAAGATCCCGCCAACCCTTGGAGAGAGCTACAACTGATAACAGGAAGCAACGGAAGGAGCAATGCTGGCTGGGGCTCTTGCCAGAAGATCAGGTAATTTCAGATAAGCCTCACACACAGTGGGATGCTTCACAAGTTAAGCCACTGGGTGGTTCAACCCCACTTGTGACCACAGATTTGTGGCCAGCCGGGGAACCTCGCACATGGCAAGCCTCTGGGGATTGTTTAAACCCTACAGAACTAGACAGATATTTGTTAATGTCAAGGAGCATCAGCTTTTGCTGAAACCTGGTAGGGAAGCCATCTCCGGGTTCCGAACAGTATATCTAATAGAGCGAGCTGAAATTTTCCCAATGTTTTGTCCAAAAGTGACCTTTTTCAGGCAATCTAATTTTTCCCATAAAAATGGGACAGTCGAAATCTTTTGTTTTCAGGAAAAAGATGCTCGTTGGCCAAGAATTACCCCCCTCGATATTTAACCATTTAAATGACATTTTTGATAAAGGCTTCAATCAAAGATTCGAAAAAAAGAAAAACGGCATAAAACAGGCCCCATTCGGACCCTCTGAAATAAAAGCAACTTTGCAAAGAGGCTTCCACAGGCAGACCATCGCTGGATCTAGGGGACAGCTCTCCAGGTAACCACCATCCTAGAGGAGCAGTCAGCCAGGGGAGGTCAAGTCCCACATACTCAGCGCCTTCACCCTACCACAGACCTGCTGAGGGCTTAATCCATCCGGCATGGGGCCGAGCTCTGGAGATGGGTGTTTCATGTCCGGGACTGTGACCTCCAGGAACCCCATGTCTTCCTCCTCAGAGTCACCTGGAAGGCAAAACACACAAGCAGTGAACACCTGAGCGGCGGGCCCAGCAGAGCGTAGCCCCAGCAGAGGGACCAAGGGCTAGTACTTTGCATGGGCCAGTGTGCGCCTTAAAGCGTGAGCCTACAGCGGGGGAAGAGCATCCCGCCCCTGCATTCTGGAGGGCTGCAGGCGCCTGCCATTCAGATCACAAGCGCTTTGGGGCGGGCACCACAGCGTCTCCCAGGCTGCAGACGGGCGCTCAGAGCATCCAGAGCCTTTGTCCAGCCTACGCTCATCCCACCACACACACCCTTGCCATGTAGGGGGCTGGTAACCTGGTGCTTCATGCATTGGCTTTTTCTCTCTCCTGGCATCGAGAGCGAACCTAGAAACTTGAATACGCCGGTCTCGTCCTATGTCTTAGACATTCCCCTGGGTGGAGATGCACCCCGCACAGCTCCCACCCACCGGTCAGCAGAACTGATAGCTCGAGCATGGCCCTGGGACTGAAGAGTAAACTGTCTGCCCAGGTGGCTGGGGCTCAGTTCATTGTCACCGTTGGTTCAAGGAGCTGAGGGTTCCTCTCTGTGCAGCCGTATGTTGCACAATTGCTTAGTCCAAGCCGGGACTTACAGGAGACCCTGAACGCTGACACCAGACACCATTGGGCTGCATTAATCAGCCCAAGGAATTTGGGAGGTAGGGACTGGAGACCTCAGCCTGGAACGAATTCCCTTTGGGTTTGTTATAGCTAAGCCCTGGCTCTATCCCCAGCGAGCCGAGTGCCCCGTCTGCCCCTGAACGTCATGACCAGCCAAGCACCCATTCTGCTGAGCTAACGCCGTTAGCAAGGAAATCAAATTCACTTCAGGGTTTAAACCTATTTAATACTGCAAAGCTCCAACCAGCCTCCCATCTCAGGACCCTGCTAAGGGGCTGAACAGAATGATCCCAGCAGCAGACCACTGGGGTTTTTTTCCATTGTTCCTCATGGCTTCTTCAGAAATCAAACCCAAGCAAAGGGTGTAAGGGGGGGAACAACAAACCCCATGCAGAGAGAAGCAGGAAGGAGTGAGCAAGTTTGGGGAGCAGAGCTGGCAGGAACCGAACCTACCTGAGAAGAGGAAGCCCAGAGAGACAACCCTCCCCTTACCTGAGGCAGAGACCGAAGAGGAGGAGGAGGAGGAAATATAATTGTTTTCAATGGAGCACCGTTTCCTCCACATTCTGCCCGTTGCATTCTCCTGCAAGCACTGCCTGTCAGCTTCCTCTTCCCCACCACCCATTCTGGGTTTATGGATATAAATAGCCCCAGGAGGAAGGGCAACTGCCGGGGACACTCTGGGCTTGTGCGGCTGGAGACGGGGAGGGGAGGTGCCTAGTAACGAGGGGGATCAGAGGGCTGCAGGAATACAGCAGCTGCTTGGCTCACAACTCCCGGGTGACCTTTTTCCTTCCCTAATTTTGGAAGGGCAGCTCAGCTCGCTGTCGCTCTGCTCCGGCCCCGGCCGCCCAGAGTCACAATCACTGCTAGGGATGGGCAGGGGGACCGATCCGGATCTTCACGCCACTCAAGTTCGAATCAAGCCCATCTCTGCTCAGATGCTGCTCTCAGGAAGCACCTCATCCTCTGGGTCAGGCAGCTGGGCTCTGAAGCAGAGTCCCAGCCCCTTGCTTCAGAGGCAGTATCAGCCTGCGGAGACCTGCATGGGAGGAGGGGTGGAGAAAGGGCATAGGACGGCGGTAGACAGCCAGGTTCTTCCTGAACTAGATTGGTGTCCTAGGGCGTCTCTTCCTTTGGACAGGAGGCAGCTATTCACTTGGGTCCCGACCCATCGGGTAACAACCCTACGTGCTGCTCAGACTCCTTTTCCTTTACTCCCCCCAGCCTCTCCCTGCTCTTTAAATCACCCTCTCCAAGACCCTTAAGGACGTGTGACGTGCTCTAGTTACAGCATGGCTTGTGCTTGGACACAGTAACACTCTCCTTGCAGCTACAGAGGGCCCAGCTAATAACCGGACCCCTCTGCACTGTTTATAGCACCCTCTGGCTGTGGATCTCAAAGCAATTAAACGCTCAACACCTGTGTATTCGGCATTATTCCCACTTTACAGATGGGGAAACTGAGGCAGCAAGCTGGGACGTGACTTGCCTCAAGGTCACACAGCGAGTCTGGGACGAGAACTCAGGACTTCCTGACTCCCAGCCTCTGCTCTAACCATTATACAATCCACTCCCTTTGGGAGATGGAAAAGCAAATGGACCCCGGGGATCAAACCCCAAATATCGCTGGTGGCCATACCCTGGGTGGATCACGCTGTTCTGACAGACCCGACGTCTCTGCCTCTTTCTCATGCTTCAGCAGCTCTCATAAAGCTCGTTATGCCAGGCTCATCTCATTGGACTGAACTGAGTCCAGAGCGCAGAGACTGGACTTCTCCCTCGCTCTGGAAGTTCCACTGGGATCTCTGAAACCCACAGGGGATATCGCACCTTTTCCATCTCCACAGCCCTGCTCCTGTGTTCCCCATTCCCTATATAAGGTGAGAAGCATTAGCAGAGTCTGTTTGGCTGGACTAAATTCCTTAACAACATAAGAACAGCCATTCTGGTTCAGACCAAAGGTCCATCTAGCCCAGTATCCTGTCTTCCGACAGTGGCCAATGCCAGATGCTTCAGAGGGAACGAACAGAACAGGGAATCATCAATTGACCCATCCCCTGTCGCCCATTCCCAGTTTATGGCAAACAGAGGCTAGGGATACCATCCCTGCCCATCCTGGCTAATAGCCATTAATGGACCTATCCTCCATGAATTTATCTAGTTCTTTTTTTAACCCTGTTATAATCTTGGTCTTTACAACATCCTCTGGCAAAGAGTTCCACAGGTTGACTGTGTGTTGTATGAAGACATATTTCCTTTTGTTTGTTTTAAACCTGCTGCCTCTTAATTTCATTTGGTGACCTCTAGTTCTTGTGTTAAGAGAAGGGGTAAATACTACTTCCTTATTTACTTTCTCCACACCAGTCACGATTTTATAGACCTCTATCTTATCCCCCCTTAGCCATCTCTCTTCCAAGCTGAAAAGGCCCAGTCTTATTCATCTTTCCTCATATAGAAGCTGTTCCATACCCCCAATCATTTTTGTTGCTCTTTTCTGTACCTTTTCGAATTCCAATATCTCTTTTTGGAGATGGGACGACCACGTCTGCATGCAGTATTCAAGAATTGGGTGTACCATGGCGGCAAAATGATATTTTCTGTCTTATTCTCTCTCCCTTTCTTAATGATTCCCAACGTTCTGTTGGCTTTTTCGCCTGCCCCTCCACATTGAGTGGATGTTTTCAGAGAACTATCCACAATGACTCCTTGCTTACCCTTCATCAGCAATCCATGCACTTCCCTTCTCTGGAACTGTTGCTGCCTTGTATTTTGTCCATGCTGTCCTAGGGGCCTAGATTTTTAAAGTTATTTAGGCACCTAACTCCCATTGAAATCAACAGGACTTGGGTGGCAAAGTCCCATTAAAAATCTGGGCCTCAGCTCTCTGGAGCAGAGAGCACATCTGATCAGTGTTTGTACAGCTCCTGTGTAAATGCACACTGAATGGACCCCAGTGGCCTGCTGACCCAGCATGGGACATCTTAAAGGAAAGTCAAATATGAAGCCACACCCAGCTGAAGCAGAGGGCTTAGCTAGCTTCTTGCCATTTGTACCCCAGGACTCCTCTTCATAGCCCCTGGCTGAGATTTACAAAGCCAGGGACTTCCAAACTGTAAGAAAAATAGGACAATGGAATAGATGCCTAAGGAGGATGCCTTTACTGGAGGTTTTCGAAAGGAGGCTGGAGAGCCACCTGCCTTGTATGGTTTAGACACAAATCCTGCATCCGGGCAAGGGGGCGAGTAGATGACCCATGCGGTTCCTTCTAACCCTCTGATTCCATGACTTCAGGAATCCATCTTGGTATGTATTTCCATAGGAGTTGCATGGCCTGTGCCCTCTGTTGGTTTTGAAAGTCTCAATTCCTATGGGCAATGGTGACAGCTCACCGATCGATCAGTTTGCTTTGGAAGACTAGAATGCTCATGAAGTTCAACTTCTTTCCCATTCCCCATGATCACAGCCCAGGAAGGCCAATTGGGACCAACCTGCCACGGGTTGGACCAAAGTATTAAAGGGGATTAGAAAACGGGGCTTCTTCCATCACTAACCCGTGGAACATTTCAACAGAAACTGAAAGTTTATGTCACACAATTGGACAAAAACTAGACATTCTCCATGAAAATTTGTTTAGTCAAACACCCTATTTTCCACAGGGAAAACACCTTGATGGAAACTTTTTGACCAGCCCTACTAAATATTCCTGACTTAAGGCAGTGCTAGTTACTCTATCTGTGCCCTCAAGGGGCACCCCACAATGTCAGAACCTCCCCAGTTCAGCATTTTCCTCCCATTACTGGAGATAAGGTCCTGCCACCGAAACTCTAGCTGGTTCCCTCTCTCCTCCTTCACATGCTGCCAAAAAGCTAACGGAAGGGACATGGTTTGGCACAGTCGTTTCCATGGAAATGAAGCAGCAATACCCAGGATTACAACAGACCTGGCTGATAACAGGGGGAAGATCCAGATTTAGTCACGAGGGGCCAAATCCTCTGCAGGCAGCAATGCCAACCCAGCCAAGTACATTACGCTACTTACTCCAGCAAAAGTTTTTGCCCCAACACATTCTTCTGGCTTAGTAACAGCAGCAGAAGCAATGCACAAAATAAAACAGGAATGTGATTTTTATCTTTTAAAAAAAAAAAGAAAAAAAGGAGAGACTAACCAAAACGAGTTTTAGGCCAAAAGCATCTGGCTCTGTTTTCCCAAAACGTGCCGAGTGCCCACCGCTCCTACTGAAGATAAACACTTTAGACATTCAGACTATTAGGGGACAGCTTTTCAAAAGACCTCGGGGACAGATTTTTCAAATGCTCCCCACTCAGAACTGGGGCCGGATGACCAGCTCCCGTCAAGAGACAAAGATTTTCAGAAGAGCACAGCCCTCAAGCGGAGTTCGTTTGAAAACCTGGCCACTACTTTTCAGCACCTAATTGGGAGCAGGGTTCTTTGGAAAACCTGGCCCTTAATGAAGGGTGCTTTCAACGAATGGCCTTATGCTTGCATTTCCAGCTTGAGAGTCATGAAGGCTTTGATAGGTTTAGAAAAACTCAATAGGAAAGGGAGTTTTTAAAGGATATATAAAGGTTTGACGTGTAAACTTCCCCCCACCCCTTTGAACTGTTGGAATCCCTAATACAACTGCCTTGCACTCGGCAAGGGGTAAAGACTTCACATCATCTTCAAACGTTAGACACTTAAGAGCCTAAGTCACTTAGGTGCTCTGAACAATTCTATGCTAGAGCACAAGAAAGAGCGAGAGAGTTTAGTTTGCAGTGCAAAAAGGAGGCAAAAAGCACAAGCTAGAGGCAGAAAAAAAATCAAATAGCCATCACCCAATCATTAGTAGTAAATGCAAGGATTTCTGTTTTTTTCAGTTTGTGATTTTTCTTTCCATACAATCAGTTATTTTGCACCTGACACCGACCGCCTCAGGGCCAGTTACCTGGGGCTTCTTTCCGGTGCAAGAAGGTCACTTTCCGCATGACAGCTATCTTTGTCTTCTCCAAGCCGTCCTTTGTGCCACTCCTGGCGGCTTTCATCAGCTGCGTCATCTGAGGAGAAGAGACACAAAGAAGTGACCATCTCTGTCAATCCTCCAGCCCCAGCTGCTCCATCCCAGAGCAAGCAGCAGCCCACGCTCCCTGCCCCTTTGCTAGGAACGGTTCTACCTCCAAGACACAAGAGCAGCACCTCCTCCCCATGCCAACCGCTAACACGCTTCATGGGGGGGGGGCATGGAGGGAGAGAAAAGGCGTTCATTCAAAACCAACACTCAGGTATTAAACAGGAGCTACCGAAAACGACCACCCTCTTGGCCCTAAAGAAATGGCTTTGAAAGAATCTGAATAATTTCTTCCAATAGCAACTTTAAAAAAAATAATAAGCCACACTTTATATTAAAGATCCCTTTGTAAAGGGTTAAATTATTCAGAGATGTTATTTGCATGTTCCAGGCATGAGTCATACATGCTACAGCTGGCTTGGAGCACAGCGCTAGATAGTCTAGATAGTTTATAAGCAGTCTCTCAACCTAAGGTCTCTCTAGCAATCTGGAACAACTGACAGGCATTTCCTGAAGCATCTCTTAACCCTTCGGAGATGAAACATGAGTATAAAGTGCGATCTATATACCTAGAGAGAGTCCCGGCAGCGATACCATTATAGGAGCCCGAGCAGTTTCTTGCGGCAAGTTCTGATCTTTTCCATCTCCGAAAAAGAGGAAATGCCACTTTTTTGGTTTAAACTTGTGAATTTAGTAATGGGGAGGGGATGGTCAGACGTGCACGGCATTGGCCAACTCTGCTCCTGTCAAAGCAAAGGGCAGAACTCCGGCTGGCTTCAACGGGAGCGAGGTTAGGCCGATCAAACCCTTTGCGGCTGCTGATGGACAGCCCCGGGGCCTGAAGTCCTGTTTACACACAGGGCAGGGCAGCAGCAATGCAAGGCTCCCCCCCCCATATCCTGCCAATGTGCTCAATGAAGGCACTAGCTCCAGGGTGGAGAGAGGAGCCAGTCTCCAGGGTCCTGTCTGTCCTTGGCCTCTCTGCTGAGCCTACCAGCCAAACAGTCCGCTATTGGACTGGACTGAGCTCCAAGAACCAACTCCACATGCACCACCGAACCACCAGCAGATGTCCCTGCCCGCCTGGCCAGATGCAGATGGGATCAAACACTCCCTTTCCCAATCTGCCGATCAGGCACGCTAGCCTGCCCACCTCCTCTCCCGCCATTTCCAATCTGACTAGACAACAGCAGCGCTCCGGTGTCTTTACCGCCTCCCCTCTGGGACCAGCCTCGGCCCAGCTCCGGCCACAGGAACGTGTCGCCAGCCAGCTGCATGCGAGCAATCCTACTGACTTGACGGCTTCCCTTTAACGCCTCTCCCTTCAGGAGCTCCCCCGCCCTTTGGCATCCGACCCTCACTTGGATCTGTCCAACGCATTAAAAGGGCCAGCATCCCACCCGTAGGGAAGGTGGGAAGAGCAGGTTCATGGTGAAGCAACACGTTCTCACAGGGGGCTGCTCACAGGGGACCTGGCAACCATCTCCAGGGCATCATGTGCCAGCTGAGGATAGCTGGAGCATAGCGTACCCCAGCTAGGCCTACTCCCCACCCCTGCACAAGGGGCTGTAGGGAAGGCAGCCTGCTGGGAACTTCTCCAACAAGGGGCACATCGCCATTCAAGTGGGACAGCAAATCTGCCCTGTAGTGACCCATCAGATTGGGACCAGGCTTGAGTGTTAGATATCCCGTGAACATTAAAAGCAGGAAGGGATGCTCAGGGTGGGCAGATGGAAGGGGAAAAGACTGTGCTGATCTGCTAAAGACCCTGCTCAGTTTCAAGCCAGAAGCACCATTAACAATTTTATGGGACATGTTTTTACCACATCTGGCAGTCTCCCCCAACACCTTCTGCCCTGGTAGTTGTGAACCATAGCTATTTGCACACGCGGGAGCTTTGCAGTTGTACCTGAAAATCCAACAGCTGCACATGCAAAGTGCCTATTTGCAAACTGCTGGGGCTAGAGATCAGGGAGGGAGAGAGGGCAGACCCGCACTCGCTGCTGAGAGCAGGACATCTTTATCTAGCCCCAATGGTTCAGGAGATAGATACTTGTAGCCCTCACCACTGGTGGGTACGGAATAGAGCTGGTCAGGAAAATCTTGACAGACCCATTTTCCGTCAGAGAATGCGGTTTCATCAAAGTTAAAACCCTTCCCGAAACGTGTCAATTTCACCAACAATTCATTTTGGACAAAACCCTCAAAAAAGTTCTAAGCATTTAAAAAAAAAAGCTTCTTTTCAGAACAAAATGGTTTGATTTTTCATTTCGAATTTTTGTTTTGACTTTTATTTTAAATGCTGTATTTTATATTATACTATCACATAAAAAAGTTAATCAAAACAAAATTAATTGACCGACAATATAAAATTGGAATTTTCTACCACTGACCTCTTTCAGGTGAACCTTTGTAACGCAAGCATAGGAAAAAAAATCACTCCGTTGACTAGAAATGCTTGAGGGAGGAGGAATGAAGATGCCTGGTCACACATGAAATGGTTGCATATTTCTGCAGTTAAGTATATATTAGCTAACATAGCTTACGTTCACATTGACCTATTTAGTCCCTGACCTGATACCCTGAATGAACTCCATGACCTGCATGACCTCAGGGTTTTGGTTTGGTTTTGATTTTTTCCAGGTTATAAAAAATAATGAACGTTGAATTTTGTTATTTACATGCTACTTCCCTGTTGGGCCTGTATTTACATAAGTTTGGTTTCGTTCTGTGTTTATATTTTATATAAAAACAAAAATAAAGTTAAAAAGGAAGGTGTAATAGATGATTATAAGCACCCTATTGACTAATTGGGCTCTATAACAATCAATCAACGATTAAACTGCTTATAAAGGAAACTTTAATACAAAGTGTGATCAATATTCTGCACGTATAGACAACGGCTTCCATATAAAAGTCACCTGCATTTGCCACAGAGGTATCCAAGATACATGGTTTACTTCTTAAAGGCATAGGAAGTACTGCTCTCGGATCACTGCGTGGGAACTGCTGGTGCCTTCTTAAATGGGATCCACTCTCCAGAGCACCCAGTGTCTGCAAGTGTTTTACAAAGGCCAACTCACTCATGTGCAGTTCTGCCCTGAAAAGTGACTGTGCAAAATTGGCACCTCCTTACTCAGCAGATCTCCTCCCGGCGCCTATCAGGCTCATCTGCCCACTTCAGCCACTTGGTGGCAGAGTTAACGCCAGCTATCTGCCTCCTCCCTTGAGCAAGGAGCCGCACTGTGAAACAACACTGACCTGCGCAGCGGGATCGTATTAGTAGCTAACGGCCCCAGCGCACCGGAGTTAAGAGGTCTTGGGGCAGGGTGAGGACTCCCAGTAACTGCAGGGAAGACAAGCCCTTAAATAAAGCTCCACTGCTTTCTAGTCCCCGCAGTCATGCAGGAGCCAGTGCAGCTAGCAGAGGGGGGTGCGGGATCCCAGGCCACCTGGGATTGTCAATTAACTTCCAAGCAGTGACCCCTGGGGCTGCACAGGGGTCACCAAGGGCAAAATTGGATCCGCGGAACCTTTTACTGGTCACGATGCACCAGGAAAGAGCCCAGTGCTCAGATCCGAGAGGGAGCTGGCAGATAAAACCCGCCTCCCGCATCGTTTTACTTGGAAGCCAAGCTCCTTTGAAAGAAAACAAACACGGAAATGCCATTTTGAGAGTCACTTTTCAGAGCCACAACCATGCGGTACGGAGCCCCGGGGAGGCAGGGAAGCATCCTACCCGTTTTCCCAGAAACTGAGGCACGAAGGTGACAGGGCTTGGCCACAGACAGTGGGTGTAGCTACACTTCGAGCTCGAGGGGACAGATCCGTGCCAGCTCTGGTGGAGCTAGCGTCCTAAAGACAGAGGTGCAGCTGCCCCAGGGTGAGGCGCTAGCTTCCCTGAGTACCTGCCTAGAGTCTCGGACGGGATCGTACTCTGGGCGACCAGCCACTCCCGCCCCTTGCATTGCCACGGCTACACTTCTACGTTCAGTCCGCTAGCTGGAGCGGACCTAGTGCAGGTAGGTCTCCTCAAGCTGGAGTTTGCACGTACCCAGGGAGTCACAGGAACAGAACCGACTCCCAGTTCTCGCCACTGCTCCACACGCCTCTGCCCCTTTAAGAGCATCTCACCCCGGCACGCATGCAGACTTGAGTTCAGTGGGCCCGGTGTAAAATGGAAGCAATTGTGCGAAGCAGAGAGAGAGCAGACGGGAGACTGCGGTGCAGAGAGAGCATGCAACCCAGGAGGCGGAAAAAAGTCTGAAGGAGGGACAGTACCTTACAATCGTATTTCTGCTTCAGCTCCTGCATGTCTCTCCCCCCAACTCTTAAAGCCAGAATGTCCCTCTTTGTCCTGGCGTATCTCTCCTTTAGCCTATTCAGGTCTGGAGAAAGCTGCGCCCCAAGCAATCAGGTAGGAGGAGAAGCAACAGGAGGCGGGAAGAGAGGCAGAGAAGAGAGATTCAGGTAAGCAGCCAAACACAGGAGGAGAAAAAACAAGAGGACCAGTGATCCGTCTAGATTAGCCAGTCTGAATGCAGGTGGGGCGTGCCTGTCCCCTCCATCCGAAGGAGGAGAGCACCTGCCATGACCCCCACCAGGGGGTGGAGAGCTCTAGGCTGTGGATAGCTCTTGTCCTGCTCCCTGGAGGGGAGCGAGGGGGAATCTAATGGCTTCTAGCCCCCATCTCAGGATAGCAAGAAGTCTTGTGCTGAAGGGTGGCCCAGGCTCTCCCCACCCCAAGGCCATGTCTGCAATGGTGACCATTACCTACTGGAGCTCCTCTGAGGCAGGGGGAGCAGGGCTGCGAAGGAGGGATGCTCCCCTGCCCAAGGCACCAGGAAGGAGGACATTCCAGATTGTGGGTCCTGGGCCCCCCCTTTAGAGATCCAGCTAGGCAACAACCGCTACGTTCAGTAATTTACTGGGCTCTCCACAGTCCCAATCCCATGTCAAGGCCCCCGATGCATGAGTACACCCCCCAACTCTGAGCCCAAGGGGAACTCGCTACGGGGGTAGAAGGGGAGAGGAGGCAAGGGACGGCCCCACTGCTGCATGAAGACAAGTGCTCCGTAGCTCTGACCAGCAAGTCGCCCCGCCCAGCGTGCATGTCCCACCCAGACCACACAGCAAAGCGGGACAGAGGCAAGCGCACGCAGGAGCCTGGCTGCGGGGCGGGACGGGGGGGCAGAAGGAAGGAGTAGCACAGGCTCATGCAGTATGCAGGGTGCCAAGCGAGATCTCGGCCACCAGGAGGCATTGCCGGGTGCCCACCATCCCGGTCAACCCCTCTCCCCTCCCCAGTCTGCGTCCCGCCCCTCATTGCAGTGCCCAGGCAGAGGTGCACTGTGGAACAGTCCGAGTGCTGGAGCGTCTTGTCCCAGCTGACTGGGAGTTCAAAGCACCAATATACAACAGGAACAGGCATAACGGCTTTATTGTGCACGTCTGCACCACATGGGGGTCTGTCCAGCACTGGCTTCACCCCATAGTCCTGCTCCAATACACACTGGGCTCAGTGTAAAACCCAGGAGGGATTCTCTGGGGCAATGGCTCCTCTCTGATTGCTCCACAGTCCTGGTTTGGACTCAAGAGAGGATCTCCCCAGGACATCACAGAGGAAAAACCTCGATGGACAACACACCTTTAGGCAGGGCTTAATTTGTGCTGGGGCTTGGCAGTCCATAGCCCCGGCACCTCTGGGCTTGGCATGTCAGTTACGAAACTAAAAAAAATTGCTTGAACCCCCGCACCCAATTGCTTGAGCCCCAACACCTCTTCCACAAATTAAGTACCAGTAATAGGTCTATGCGCCCTTTCAAGAAGGTGCCAGCCCATGGTAGGATTTCAAGACTAACCACTTCGAGAGACAGTCTGTCAGTTCTAAATGATGGAGGGACGACCCACCACGGAAGAGAAGGGACACTCCGGGTTCAGACACCCCAAAAGGAGAACAGAAGCTTTAAACCCCCCCACCCCCGAAATGAGCAGTTGAACGAACTGATTTATAGTACAATAATACAGTAAGCAATGTGTATCGAGAAAGGTCTTTTATGGAAGCTTATAATGTTCTGAACTTGGTCATCACGAGATAAGAAGACAGAGCACCGATCTGTCTCTAAACACACACCAGGATTTTATCTACCGTAGATACGTTTCTCGGTAACTATGGCATCTCTGAATCGGTGGTTTTTCTATGCAATAAACCTTTTGTTTATTTTCACCCCACGCTGGTCTCTGGTGGATGCAGGGGCCAAAGTCAGCTTGTGTCTGAGGGGCCTGTTTCACACCTTTGAGGGTGACGCACCAGAGGGGAAAGTCAGCGTCTGGTGGTTAAGACCTCGGGGAGGACAGATTTGGGGAGACTCGGGACGGGAAGGGCTGCTGGTGTCACCCTGCAAAGGCTGGTGGATGCTACTGGCATCAGGGCTCTGAACCAAAGCTGCATGCAGGGGGTGACTGAACCCCTTACTGGCCTGGGTGGACCCCAAAGTGTCCCATCAGGGGTTCTTGCTGCCCCCACATTGATGAGCATCCAAGCACACCAGAACAGCCCTGCAGTCAGCTGCACATCGTTTGCATCATGAACCATTAGCTAGTTGCAGGGGTTCCACTTCGAAGAGGATGAGATCTAGCGTGCATGGCCGGGGGGGGGAAGAGGGACATTTCAACATACCCCGATAGCCTGGAACAAAGCCTCAGCTCCTAGGAAACGGCAGCTCTTCGAGACATCTCTAAGCCAAGTGCAGAATCCTGGTTCAAACAAGGCCACAAATGGCCTCCCCAGTACCAGGCAATATCTGAGACAAGCAGCTAATTTATTATCCCAGTTAATTTCTCTAGGCATGATGTTAAATAATTTTTTTTTAAATAAAAAAATCCATCCACCATCTATCTGCTTGAACACCTGGTTATTATATGGGGCTTTTCCTCTGTAGATCTCAAAGCACTTTACAACGGAAGTCAGTGCCATTAGCCCCATTTTAGAGATGCGGAAACTGAGGCACAGAAGGGCAGGGACTAGTCCATTGTCTCCCCTGGCAGAGCCAGGAATAGAACCCAGATCTCCTGACTCCCAGTAAAGTGCTCTGCCCACTAGGCAACAGTCTCTGCGGGTCCACCTAAGTCCCCGTCCCCTCTCCCAGGCAGTGGGGATTTATTCAAGCTGAAAGGATTCATATCCAGGCCATCTGAGTGCACCCCATATCTCAGCTGAGTCAAATTTGAAACAGTTACACCACTCGCATCCTCCCAGTCTGCTGCTTACCCTCAAGCTATTGATACACCAGTCCCTTAACCGTGGATGGACTACGAACATTTACAGCTGGGCATTAGCCCAACAAACCATTTAGCGTTTGCCATCCAGTGCCCCCAACCAGTACAGCCCTGGATCATTGATGAAAGAAGCAGGTCAGAGGTTTTATTTCAAACTAGTGCACCACCACCCCACACCAGCCATCGAGGCAGGACCAGTTGTATCAGTTGTCAGGTCACATTGTGTGCCGATTACCTTTGGCTGGAAGGACCCCTTGAGTTTGGCAGGTTCCACCTCAGGCTTGGCCTCTTCGCCAGAATCCTCACTGTAGCTCTCAAACTCACTGGAGCTCCAGCCTAGATCTTCGGCTTCCCGATGTGCCCCATCCTCGTAAATCAGGTTTCTGTCTGCCCCTGTCGGGGCAGGGAAAAGAACAGAACACCATTGGCAAAGGCCTACGGTGTTGCCTCTTGGGAAAAGGCATTTGCTTCAACCCATGACCTGCCCAATTAATTCAGCATTACCCACAGTGTGCCTCTCGGCCTCCCACACCACCCGTTCCCAGGATTGACCCAGGCCCAGATATCTCGCTGCATTTGCTTGCCTTGGAAGGCATTGCTCCAGACTTAGGCAAGTCTCCTGGATCTATGGCTACAAGTGACAGTCAGTCATACTAGGGTGAAAACAAGGAGGAGCGCTGCCTAAGGAAATTTGTGGGACCCCCCTCGCTTAGATCTCTTCAAACCAGGCAGGACAGTGGATGAGAAAAGGAGCCATCTTGCAAGCAGCAAGGGGGCTGGGGCAGGGTGGAGAGGGACAAGGTGGCTCAGTGATCTTTTCCCCCTCTCCAACCTCTGTGTTTCCAGGTGTTGTATTCAGGAAAGGTGACCAGTGGGTCAGGCCAGTTCTCCACTTAACATTCATGCTCCGAGCACCGTGCCCAAAGGACAAGACTAAGCTCTTGGCCAGCAGGGACTAGCAGTTCTGCCCAAGCAGCCAGCTCTCCCTCTGAGAACGGAGATGGTTGCATAGACAGACCAGCCACAAGTCACCGGAAGTTGAGAAAAGAGGGTGGAGCAGAGGGGCTTGGGCCCATGGAAAGCAAGGTGCGAAGTCCGGAGAGTGCCAGGGGAACATGACGACCCATGAGGAGCAGCCTCGGACGCTGCAAAGATTGACAGCGGATTCCCCACCGGGTCGGCAACTGTGCAATCAGGAGGCACAGCACAGACCAGTATCAGTAGGCAGGCGGGCAGGTGGGGCGGTGCTGCCCAGCAGAGGGCGCACCTGTGCCACAGTTGGAAGGCTTCATTCTCTTCCTGGAATTGGACAGACAGGTGGCTAATGCTGATGCATCCTAAGCTGGAGTCTGAAGACCCCAGGCAGAGAGGTCCCCCCCGCGGCAGGCACAGGGGAGAGGCAGCATTTCTCAAGGAAGATCAGGAAAGGCGGGAGAGGGGTACGTTATTATCGCTCATTTCTGGCACAATAGGGTGGGAGGGGTAGCTCAGTGGTTTGAGCTTTGGCCTGCTAAACCCAGGGTTGTGAGTTCAATCCTTGAGAGGGCCATTTAGGGATCTGGGGCAAAAATTGGGGATTGGTCCTGCTTTGAGCAGGGGGTTGGACTAGATGACCTCCTGAGGTCCCTTCCAACCCTGAGATTCTATGATTCTAAGGACCCAGTGGAGATGGGGAACCCACCGTTCTCTACAAACGGCCCCTTCCCCGAAGAGATGAGGCTCTGACTAGAGCAGGGCAAGGAAGGAGCGTTAACCCCATTTTACAGACAGGGAGTGGAGGGCCTGAGAGATTAAGTGATTTGCCCAAGGTCACAGAGGAATCAGTGTCACCGCTGGGAGATTCCCACACCCTGGGGAACGCTGTTGGCAAAAACAGTTCCACTAACCACAGCACCATTCTTCCCCCCTTCCTATTTACTATTTGTGTTTAAACCTTGTCTATTTTCCTCCTCCTCCTTTAGCCTGTCAATGTACTTTTCCATTTCCATTTGTCAAACCTCCATCAATTTCCTATTTCAGCTGATCTAGTTTCCACTCTTCAGCCCAAGGGAGAGATTTGGTAACACGGAAGAGGATTTGGGGCTGGATCTTGCACATTTCTGTCACGTCTGAAATAAAAACCCAGCCCATGAGACACTGCAGGGACTGTGCCGTGCAGCCCCTTTCAACTGACTGTAGAACACAGTGGTGCCAGAATTATTATTTATATCGTATTTGCATTGCAGTAGCTACCCCGAAGCCCCATCACGACCGTAGCATGCATGGTGAGGTACAAACACAGAACCAAAAGGCAGCCCCTGCCCCAACCAGCTGCTGCGTCAGCCACCCCAGAGTCAGGCAATAGCAAGGTGAGCCCAATTCAGAGTTTTTAAAAAAAAAAATCCATTCCCAGGTGTATTCTCTCCTTGGCAAACAAGTCGCCCGTATCCCCAAGCTTTCCTTATGGCCCACACTGCCATGCCCAGCTTTCCTTATGGCCCACGCTGCCTCTGTTCAGTTTCTTGTGCATTGTGGAACCACAGGAATCTCACCTTTAGTTGCACAAGAACCAGAGTAGCCAAGCGAAGAAATGTGCCTGCTTTCACCGGACCCAGGTCTGCTTATTCCTTTACTGTAGATGCAGGTCTCTGGTGAAGGACAGACATATATTTGCATCATCTCTGAGCCTGCTACGGCAGAAGATGGCCAGGCCCCTTGGTCTTCCATCCCAGCTGATTCCACCGAGCCTCAAATTCCAGGAACTTTCAGAACCTTTGCCCCGAGTTACCATGGCACCGCTGGGCCCATTCCTCCTCCAAGCTTGCCCCAGCACATGTGGCCATATTTAAACCCAGATCCGCTCTTCTCAGTTGAGGCACAACACAAAGACGTGCAGCTTTCATTCAGCAGGCTGAAGGAACAGGCCTTAGAGGCCAGCCACACCATTCTCAGCTCCCTGAGCTTGGCTGACCTCCTGCCTCCAATGAACTCAACAGCAACACTTCCCATTGACTCCAGTCGGGCCAGGATTTTATCTCTTGTTTGCATTTCCTTGTCTCTGGTGAGCCCTTCCCACCTGTTGGAACAGCGAGAAAGATCCCCACAGTCCCTCCATCATCCCTGGACTCCAAGGCCAGATGAGACCATCCTGATCATCTAGTCTGACTGCCTGTATAACACAGGTCAGAGACCTCCCCCAACACCATTCCTAGGGCAGATCTTTTAGAGAAACATCCAATCTTGAGTTAAAAATTGTTAGCAATAGAGAACCCATGACCCTGGGTACATTGTTCCAATGGTTACTTACTCACACCATTAAAAATTTACACCTTATTCCCAATCTGAATTTGTCTAGCTTCAGCTTCCAGCCATTGGATCATGTTGGACCTTTCTCTGCTAGATTGAAGAGCCCATTATGAAATATTTGTAGGTGCTTACAGATTGTGACCAAGTCACCCCTTAACCGTCTCTTCGTTGAGCTAAATAGATTGAGCTCCTTGAGTCTCTCACGATGAGGCAGGTTTTCTAATCCTTGAATCATTCTCATGGCTCTTCTCTGACCCCTCTCCAATTTATCAACATCCATCTTGAATCGTGGACACCAGAACTGGACATGGTATTCCAGCAGCGGTCGCACCGGTGCCAAATCCAGGGAGAAAATAGCCTTCTCTTGTTGCATTACAGGATTGTATTTGCCGTTTTGGCCACAGCATCGCCCTGGGAGCTCATGTTCAGCTGATTACCCACCACACCCCCCCAAAACCTCTTCCAGAGTCCCCACATCCCAGGCTAGAGTCCCCCACTCTGTAAGTATGGCCATATTTACACGTCTACTTGCAGAAGCAGGTGACAGAATTGGCAACCCATCAGCCTTGCTCCTCTGGCCCAGAGATGGAGACCAAGGCTGACATCAAGGCGACTGCTAACGTTTGCAATGTACAGCACTATCCATAGGCTAAAATTTTGATGGTCTCTTGCTCTTCTGTCCAGTGGTAAAGCTCAGTTCCACACAGCTGGATTTTTTCCACTGTCAGAACGTCCACTCCTAAAGCCAGGGAGGGACCTGTGTTCCATATCCAGGCTCGCAGGAGGAGGAGGAGATGCATTGGAAGGAATGCAGGCAGACAGACATTTTAAACTGACAGCTAACACAGGATTCCAGTCATCAGGCTATTATTAAACAGAAAGATAAACAACTCCCTAGAAGAGGATTTGGTTTTGGCTAACCAGTGCAACTGGCCATGGAGGAGCGAAAAAACCCACAATCACTGCAGCAGTCATGAGACGATTGCGAAATTAACCTGCATTTCCACCTCCTGAGCTTTCCATCAAGGGGCAAAGGAAGTGTGGATGGAGATGAAGGAGTGTTCGTCATCATCATCACGTGTAGTACAGTACCAGATAGGGTACGCCTACATGACAGGCAGCCGCACGTCTCAGAGCCCCAGGCAATGGACTCAGGCTCACGGGGCTCTGGTCCTAAAAATGGCATGTAGACATTCAGCCTGGGGCTGAGGCCTGGGCTCTGAAGCCTTGGGAAGGGGTGTGGGTTTCATAGCGTGAACTGTCCACACAGCCATTTTTAGCACCATTAGCGCAAGCCTGAGTCTGGGGACTCGGGCTCTGAGATTCCCAGCTGTGGGCTGTTGCTTGCCACACAGACATACCTGTAGGTACAGACCGTCCTTGGCCCCCGAGCTTACAATCCAAATAGATAACAGAGACAAAAGGGAGAGGGGTAAATGAATTCTTTCCCCCTTACCCTTTTCACAGACGGGACACTGAGACAGGGTAAGGGCTAGGATGCTCATAAGAACTACGGGGCGTAAGTCCGTATTTTAAGCACCTAAACTCACTCAGCCCCTAACCTGTCAAGGTAAAAGTTCCCTCAGCCCCCGTGTCTCTCTCTGTCCGGATGCCTATCCCCCACCTATGACCCAGCGCGACCCCCAACCCAGGGAAGACAGGCGTGCAGGGCTCTGTCTAGTAGGCACCCCCTGAACCTGCCTATCAGATTGGGCCCTTTCAAAACCTGGCAGGAGGAAGAGGAGCTTCTTAGGGTCATTGTGAGAGGGAGAAAATCTCTGTCATCCAGTGGTTCGGGCATCCAGACGGGAGACCCCCGGTCCTGTTCTCCTGCTTCAACCACTCCGTCATTATTTCTCCACAGGAGGCCTGCTTCAACCGGCGAGATGGGGGGAGCCTCCATCCGAATATCCCATAGCTCCGTGGTTAGAGCTGGGAGACCCCTGTTCCAATCCTCTCTGCCCCTCTGGCGGAAAGGGCAACTGAAGCTGGGTATCCCACGTCCCAGGTGAGGCATTAATCACTGGGCTAAGAGCTGTAAGGTGGGTGACATGCCCCCACCCCCAAAATGGCATAAGGTGCCTAACTCTGAAGAGAGTTCCTGGCTTCAGAATTGCTCAGCAGAAATAGGCATTTCCCTGCAGCCTGGACTTGGGAGCCTAAATCTCCCACTGCTCTGGTCGTCATCTCCCACTGACTCGCTTAGGCAGCTCCCCGACGTGTGTGAATTGCAGTCAAAGGCACCCAGCTCTCCCCATGCGTTGTACAGAAGTGTAGACGTCTAACTCAGACTTTGGGAATCACCATGATTTTTCCAGGCACGTAAAATTATGCCTGGCGATGCTCAGGGTCAAGGTCTAACTCCTTTTGAGCATTCAGCCCTAAGTGACTTGCGTATGGTCACACACAGAGACTGTGGCAGAGCCAGGAATTGCCCCAAATCTCCCAAGTCCCAGCCCACTGCTCTAGCCCCTAGGCCATGCTTCAGACCTCAATTAGAGCTTACCCAGCACAGAAAGTGATGGCAGGGAACTGACAACACTCCAGCAACAACGATGAGGGTGAAACCAGACAGTCACTACGCTCTTGAACGAACTCAAACAGGAAAGTGATAAAAGACAAAACCACCCAGGGACAAACATTGTTCACAAAACCATCACTCCATATCTGACCTCTCAGTCCTCGTCCTCAAAGGAAACCTGCACAGCACCTTCAAACGATGAGCCTGGGAGTTTAAATTTAAACTTTGCGAGACACTAAAAATCAGAGACCGAATAGAGAACCTGGACTTATAGCTTATTACAACAATCTTTTCCCTCCCCCCATGACTGGAGACGCGCGAACTAGCCACTTCACCTTGAATGCTCCCTAGAAATATGTGCTAACTACTTATGCTAAACATTCATCCCACCTTGTATTTTGCTGTGACGCTCGGAGGGCCTTTCCCAGACTGAAGAAGAGCTCTGGATAAGCTAGAAAGCTGGTCTCTCTTACCAAGAGAAGACAAACAATAAGACCTCACCCGCCTTGTCTCCCTAATAACCTGGCAGCAACACGCCTACAACAAAACATCAAACGAAGAGGGAGGGAGCCATCACTCTAAGGGCATGGCTACCTTGGAGAGTTTGCAGCTGCTCCGCTGTAAGCTCTCTAATGTAGCTGCCCTAAGCGGATGGGAGAGAACTCTCCTCTTGGTTTAACTACTCCAGTGAGCGGCGGCAGCTGTGTCGGCGACAGAAGCTCTCCTGCCGACAGCGCTGTCCAGCGCTTCGCTCGGGGGGGGTGGTTTATTCTCCCCCCTGAGCAGTAGAAGTTCTGCTGACATAAGCTGTAGGGTAGATATGGCCTAAGAGGCCCTCACGACCTCACACAACCATCTCCAAATAGCCTCTTCCTTGCGTCCTCCGGTCTTGAAGCCACCGCACACTCCCATCTCCCAGGAAGCAGGGGTTTGTGAATTCAGTGCAATGAAATGCAGGGTCCCCCTTTCCCTTCCTGGTGCCCCCCAGCCCTTTACGGCTCAGGCTGGTTATGGGTACAGACCCAGAGCTGTTGGATTTTAAGGGCATGAAAAGCCAATTGCTTTATCCCTTCCCCTACCCAGGAATGTCTTTAAAGTGGCACAGAGAGGAGGTAAAATCCTAGTCACCCCCCACCTGCCACAAAGGGCCTCTTCCTCTACAGTCCATCGGCAGCTCTGGAAGGGTGGACAGGAGACAGCAAGGCAGACACTCAACGTTGCTTCATTGGCATCAGTAGAGTTACACTAATTACTGTTAGGGGGCTTATTCCTTCACCCACTTACTTCCCTGGTCCTTCTCGCATGAACAGAGAGCAACAATACCCGAAGTCCAAAGGTGCAAACAATTCGATGTTTATTGGGGTGAACTTCCAGCAAGCATGATTCCAGTTTCCTTCCTTAGTATCCTCCTTCCCAGGCCTGTCTGTAAAGGCCTATACTCTAAGAATTTAGGTGTATTCTTATCACTTGGCTAGTGATAGAGGTATAAAAGAAAGAATCAAAACCACTGTCTGCCAGTGTAAGGGCCTTCTCTTACTGTGACAGTTTGTGGCCCTGTGCTTAGGCTCAGGCCTTTGGCTAAGCAGCAGAGGCAGCCATAAGCTGGGAAGCAACCAGTCACATCCTCACGTTCCAAGCTAGTCACATTGAAATAAGGTGTTATTGAGCTGTTAGGCACTATCAGGACAGGATTGTATTCCTATCACCTCCAGAGAAAGGGAAGTGCCTAGAAAATGTAAAAGGAAACTTAGTTCGATAGCATCCTGTCTGGCAAGAACTCACTTATCAATAGCTGGGATGTGAAATCCTCACTTCTGTATTGTTTTGTCATTATAGTTCCCACTTTGCTGTTGTTTGTCTGTATAATCTCTGTCTGGTTCTGTGATTGTTCCTGTCTGCTGTATAATTAATTTTGCTGGGTGTAAACTAATTGAGGTGGTGGGATATAATTGGTTACATAATCATGTTACAATATGTTAGGATGGGTTAGTTAAATTTCAGGAAAATGATTGGTTAAGATATAGCTAAGCAGAACTCAAGTTTTACTATATAATCTGTAGTCAATGAGGAAGTGACTGGGTGTGGGTGGGCATGTGGGTGTGTGAGATGGGAACAGGGAATGGGGGTAAGAAAATTGGAATCATGTTTTGCTAAAGGGGGAGATGGGAACAGGGAATGGGGGTAAGAAAATTGGAATAATGTTTTGCTAAAGGGGGAAATGGGAACAGGGAATGGGAGTAAGGAAGTTGGAATCATGTTTGGCTAAGGGTAGGAATGGGAACAGGGACACACGTGTAAGGCTCTGTGGTGTCAGAGCTGGGAAGGAGGATACTAAGGAAGGAAACTGGAATCATGCTTGCTGGAAGTTCACCCCAATAAACATCGAATTGTTTGCACCTTTGGACTTCGGGTATTGTTGCTCTCTGTTCATGCGAGAAGGACCAGGGAAGTAAGTGGGTGAAGGAATAAGCCCCCTAACAATTACCCCAACTGATGACCTGGCCCTTTCCTTCCAGAGAGATTCTGATTTAGCTCAAAGCAGGCTGAAAGGACTCAATAGCCGCAAGTAATCAACAGGCCAACAGTGGCTTCTAAAAGGTCAGGGTACTCCTGAAGGAGGCAGGGAAATGGCCTTGTTAGAGCAGGGTACTGCGAGTTAGGACTCCTGGGTTCTACTCCCACCTCTACCACAGAATCACCACGCCACCTTGGAGCAAGTCACATCACCTTGGAGCTCGCACCTACCCAGCTCCCAACACTCATGTAAGAGCTCCAAGATCCTTGGATGGGCAGGGCTATGAGAGAAAGGACAGAGCTGACAGAGGCAGGGGAGGAAGTAGATAAGAAAGAGAGGCAAAGACAGCCTGTAGGAAGGCATGAAAGACAGCTCTGCTCAGAGCAGAATTCTGGGTGGTTCCATACCGTACTGATCCGAGTCCAGATTTTCACATGGGACGTCATCATAGATCACATCTTCCTCCAGGGCCGGGAACTCAAACCGTGCACCTGGAACGAAAAGCAACACAGGGCAAGCTGTGGAGAAGAACCTGAAACCAGGAGAGAACTCACCATGAGCTTCAGCTACACCCCGCTTTGACTCGTGGCAGCGTGAGCCAGTGGGTAGGGTACTAGATTGGGAGTCATAACACCTGGGCCCTATGCCTGCCTCAACCACTGACCCGGCAGCCAAGTCACTTCACCTCTGGGACTGTTCTTTCTGCTCTGCCCATTTAGATTGTCAACTCTGGGCCGGGACTCTCTCTCACAGGGTATCTGCACAGGGCCTACCACAAGGGACCTCTTGAGTGCAACCAGAACACAATGAATAGTGGGTCTTGTCTGGAACACCTGATGTTTCAGAGCCAACCTTCAGCGTACTGCTCTCAGTGCCTTTTATGCCGCAGTGGCAAAGCTAGATCCTGGCCCCTCTCTCTGACGCCTCTGCAGGGAGAGCTCAAAAATCTGTATCTGAGTTTTATGACTTGACCCTGGCTCCTTTCTAAGGAGCAACAGGCCAGGGCTACAAAGTGTGCATCTCAATCCAAAATTAGGGGGCCTTTAGCTCAGGAGACTTGACCCAAATAAGAGACAAATTGAGGCCAGCTGTGAAATCCAGATCTAGGTCCAAGTGCTGATCCCCAAACACCCAAAATTTGGATCGGTCCTTTGGATCAAACACTTAGAATCATAGAAGGTTAGGGTTGGAAGGGACCTCAGGAGGTCATCTAGTCCAACCCCCTGCTTGAAGCAGGACCAATCCCCAATTTTTGCCCCAGATCCCTAAATGGCCCCCTCAAGGATTGAACTCACAACCCTGGGTTTAGCAGGCCAATGCTCAAACCACTGAGCTATCCCTCCCAATTTCAACCCATCAAGTTCTCAACACCCTATGTATGGCATGGTAACTGCTACACTGAAGTCTAAGTTATTATCCATCATGGTCCCAAACATACCCAGTCACCTGCCTGACCAAAGGGCTGTTTTAGTGTTTAAACAGAGCCAGGATTTGGGATGGGGAAGCCATGTTTTTCCATCTGTGTGAGGGAGGCGGGAATCCCAGCATTTCCAGGGCACACCAAAGCTGATCGAACAACACACGAGTCTCTTGGAAGGAATCCAGAGTCATTTCCATCCATCCCATCCAGCTCATAGAGGCATCAGAACCCTACCTCGCCGGATGCTCTTCCTTTTCCAGTTGCGGGTCCGAATCCCCGTGGGGGAGCTGCCCACAACGTCCCCATTGCTGACCACCGTCAGGAACCTAGGGCAGGAAGAAGGCTGTGAGTGGTCAGACAAGCAGAATAGCCAGCCAGTTTACGGGGATGGTTGGGGGAAGCTATGTGCTGTCGCTAAAAGTTGAGCGAGTCCAGGTCCACCAACCTGAATAGCAAGGGCCAGTTGTGAGCAAATGCAATGGCCACACCTGAATCGCTTGGTTGCAGACCTGGCTACAGACTGGGATCCTCCACAGCTAAACTGCACCAAGAGGGGGTGACATGCCCAGGCAATTCGCACTAAGACACAATGGGTCTTTGTCCCCTTCCAGTGGCTGGTCCATGTAAAAGGTTAGCAAGTCTCCTACTCCTTCCAGCTCCTAGCATTGCCCCGTAAACTGCAACAATAGAGGCCCACGGCTTTTAGCTCTCAAGGTCCAAGCCCCTAAACAGGGCTGGTTAGACGTGCACCCACCAGGCTTCAGAGCTGACACCCAGCGCTCATGCCATCCAGTTACACTGCAGGTCTCCGTCGTGCCAGTTCCCAGCAGGCCACCCCCACACCACGTCTCTCACATGCCCACTCACCCGCTGCTTCACTCTCTCGTTCTGGTGTCCTTTTCTTCCCCCTTGGCTGCTTTCAGCCTATTTCCTCTACTCTCCCCGCAAACCTTTCCCGGCACAGGGCACCCCTTCCCCATTCACTGCACTGTGCTTGCTACCTCCTCCCCTTGGCTTTCTCTCTCTCTATCATGAATCAGTTCTCTTTTCCCCCCGCACTTCCCTTTTCAAGCTTCTTAGCTCCTTAGGGCTGGAACCTACCTTCCACCTTGGTTCTTCCCAGTATTATGCTAAAACCTAAAGGCCTTAACACCAGCATGCCTGGTGCTGCAGACAGGTAACTGAGGCTGTCTCAGCCCCAAAGAGCTTGCGAACCAAGTTCCTCTCTTGTGAAGATCCTTCTCCAGACGCAAGCTTTGCTGGTGGCCTCTGACACCAGTCAGGACAAGGGACCAGGATGGGGTCTCAGATACAGCGAGGAACCAGCATGCTCAGATTTCACAACAGCAAGGTTAAAGGCACTGGATTGGCACTCAGAAGAACAAGAGTCACTGCTCAGCTCTGACACGGACTGCCCGCGTGACTGTGGGCTAATCACTTTGTTTCTGTGCCTCAGTTTCCCACCTGTAAAGGGGGGATAATACTTTCTTTCTCTGCCTCTAAACTGCAAGTTCTTAGCAGCAGGGACTGGCTCCCACTATGTCTGTACAGCCCTGGGTACAACACAGCCCTGATTTCAATGGCGGCCCTTAGGCACTACTGTAACCCAAACAAACAGCACCCTCCCCATACCCAGCAGGGCTGGGCAAACAGGTTTGGATAAAGAACCTTCAGCCAAAACTTCAGTCTAACCCTGGAGGTTGGAAGTGCTCCATTAATCGTGCCCCCCTGCGCCCCTCCGTTATTTTTCACGTGTGCCAGCTGCAGCGCTGGGCCCCCAGGTGCCGGATGGCAGCAGAAGTACCAAAAGACAGAGAAAAAACCTCCCCCTCGCAAGATTTCCAGTCTAACGTTCCATCCTCTTGGAGATTCACGTAAGCAGCCAACTGGTGCCAGCACCTCCTCACATCCCCTAAGCCCATCTGCCATCTGAAGCAGGCAACAGCAGGCTGTCCCAGGGATGTCCGCTGATTTGCCAGACAAACCGGGCCCATCATCCAGCACAGAAGGGGTTAAGAATTTTTAAAACTCAGTGCAAGAACGGGGGGGCTTCCATCCGTACTGGAGGGGAGGCAGGTCTGTGCTGGACCTTGAGGAAAGGGGAGGGAGGGCTGGAGTGGGAGTGGGGGAACAGGATGTGTGAGAGCAGCAAGCAAGATCGGCTGTTTCCCAGACAACAGCTGATGGAGTGTCATGGTGACCCCGCAGCCCCCTCCCCGGGGGGCATCCTTGAAGGTTTCTGGCTCTCCCAGCCCTGCAGGACCATGACCTAACTGGGCAGACCAGGCCATGAACTCAGACCTGGGGAGCAGGGAGCTGGGTTATAAAGTCTCCAGACACAAACACATTTGCGCCGTGTGCCCTCTCCCCACGGTATTATCTGAACGACTATTAAAGCAGCATCTGGGGCCACTAAATAGTGCACTGAGTTAACATACTCAGCTTCTCCCCAACCCTGCAGGGAAGCCGCAATCCAGGTTCAAATCTCCATCATGGAACTAGTGAAATAAGCAGAGTCTACATACACCCCCTGTCATGACTTCGCATCAAGGAACATGGCTCACCGCAAGCAGGAGGCATCCAAACCTAACCTGGATGAAGGGCTAGCCTGGACCAGCCCCACATAGCCTGGACTAACACACTAACATCTCCGCTTTAAATCAGAAGGGCGGTGGGTGGACTGTCCCAGCACTCGGCTTAAAGCTCGGACTGACAGCTTGGGCCTGGTTTGATTAAGTAAATAAAATGTCAGGGGAAGCATCCGAGTCACAAGGCCAGGTCTACGCCCTGGCTTGTAGTGGGGAGCGGAACCCACACAGATCTGCAGGGGGCAGACCCACAGCCTCCTACATTGTCCAGATTTCAGAGTAGCAGCCGTGTTAGTCTGTATCCGTAAAAAGAACAGGAGGACTCGTGGCACCTTAGAGACTAACAAATTTATTAGAGCATAAGCTTTCGTGAGCTCCAGCCCACTTCATCGGATGCATACGGTGAGCTGTAGCTCACGAAAGCTTATGCTCTAATAAATTTGTTAGTCTCTAAGGTGCCACAAGTCCTCCTGTTCTTTTTACATTGTCCGGTGGCACCAGCAATCCCACTTTCTCGATACGGCTCCCGGCAGCGAATCCAGCCAAGCCAGACTCCTGCGGGAGGAGCCTTTCAGGGCGCAATGCTCCCAGAGTATTTACAGTGACACAAAAACAAGGAGTCCGGTGGCACTTTAAAGACTAACAGATTTATTTGAGCATAAGCTTTCGTACCTATGAAAGCTTATGCTCAAATAAATCTGTTAGTCTTTCAGGTGCCACCGAACTCCTTGTTGTTTTTGTGGATACAAACTAACACGGCTACCCCCTGATACTTGACACCATACAGGGACACAGGCAGCCATTCCTTAGTCCCCTGGCACGCACAATTCGAAAGCTCTTAGGGCAGTGCAGGGAAAGAAGGTTAAAGCTCAGTCCATCCTGGTCAGCCCAGACCAGCTGTAATGAGTCAAGCCCCATGTTCAGACTCTGGCTGACCTCCTTAGCCAGTTTCCAGGTGAGAAGCCAGCACTTTATCCCCCACCCCCTCCGCACAAACACCTGGCACCTTCCAGTCTTTTGTTCTTGAGCTGGGGTCTTTGCTCATCTTCCCTGCTGATAGGTGGGGAAATCCATCTCCCTGATTGCTAGTGTTCTGGTGATTGGGTTTCCCTTCATCATCTTGGGTTTTCCATTGACACGGGGTGGCTCTCAGACAGTCCTTTTTAATGGCTCATTGAGGCTCAGACAGCTAAGTGACACACACACACACACCCCTATGTCTCCTAGCTGTCCAGAGAGCAAACCTAGACCTTCCCTCCACCTGCCATGCAAAATATTGGGGAAACTGAGGCACACATCAGCTCCCCACCCCACCCCACAAAAATACCACAGAAAATTCCCACTTCATCACCGCCGATGGCCTGAGCCAAATCTGGGATGGCGTCTCCCTGCCGAGTGGGCTAGGCCTTGCATTCAGCCCTCCAGTCAGGCCTTGTCTCACTTGTCCCCACTTTCCAATCTGTCGGAAAAACAGACCCACCAGGGAGGGTTCCGTTTTCCCCAGTTTTTGGCCCCCTTGCGGGCCCAGCAACACAGTCCCCTATTGGATGCCCTTCCCCTGAACACCAAAGGAGTAAGTCCCTACCCAGCAGTGGCGGGGGGCCTAGCAATGGCTGCCATTACAGCTACCTGGACGGTCAGCACAGGACGGCAGGGTATACACTTTCCCCACAGCCTCTGCTGCTGCGGCCATCCACTCTCCCGGGAAGGGGCACCTGCCCCCTCACGTACCTTTAGAGAAAAGCCAAGTGTCCTGCTTTCCTCGGGGAAAAGCCTACAACGCATGCCAGCACAGAAATCAGACCCCTCTCTCCGGGCCTGGCAGGGGACCCATCACCGCAGCTCCCGGTTCAATCCTCTGCTGGCATCCAGAGAGCCTTCCCTGCAGCCACATGCCCACCCTCCTCTGCACTGCAGCGTGCACCAGGCCGGGGACACACGCTGGCTGTGCTGACTGGGCGAGATCCCGAGGCAGCCGGCTGACCAATATCGCTGTCTCTTCCCTTTAGCAGGCAGCATCTCCTCCACCCTCATTGCGTCACTCCCTGCTGCCTGCAGCTGCTGCTGGATCCTTGAACAGCGTCAAGCTAACGCCTAGCGCCACCGCCCCGCCTCTTAACCTTCCTCCGCTCACGGCTGCCTTCTAGATGGGCTGAGGACAGCCCGTATTGGCAGGACGAGAGAGAAGAGCCCATTAACTGGATCAGAAGCCCTGTATGTCCGTCAGGAGGCGTGGAGACACCGAGAGCTGTGTGAAAAACAGCGACAGACACCAGGAGCCTGACATGGGAGGAAACAGCATCACGTGGCTACTTAGTGTTAATATTGATTTTAGAATAGACAGGGACTCTGGGGACCTCGCTTCTACTCCCAGCTCCGCCAGTGACCTGCTGAGTGGCCTTGGGCAAGTCCCTTGACCTACATGCCTCTGTTTTCCCCTCTCCGGGTTGTGTCTGTGTTGGATATTTTAACTGCAAGCTCTTCAGTCCAGCAACTGTCTCTCATTATGCATCTGTGCCACACCCAGTGCAACAGGGCCGTGATCTCAGATGGGCCGCTAGATGCTACCATAGCAATAATTTTTAAAGCATGTTTAATAACAACTGTATGTCTTTAATCCTACAGGATCACAGCAAGTTTCCACCATATCAGTGACTACCTGCTGAGCTCCCTTCACGCTCTACTGAAATGCAGCCACCTCTGGGCTGTAGCACACAGCCACGCTAGGCAACAATTTA